TATATATATATATATAATTTCTGAGGCATTAAATGTGCTTTAAGTAAACATAGAATACAGAGTTAGGCAGGCAAGTACAAGGTTTCTCATATCAAGTAATCCTTTTTTTTTAAAATGTCAGGAATCATAACAAAGTAACTTCTTTGCTATATCTATGATAAAAAGTTATGGCATGCAGGTAAAATATATCACTGAATAGTATAAAGAAAGAAAACATTTAGGTAAATTAATTTTCAAAAAAAAAATTTTTTTTTAGCTTAAACAAAAAGAAGAAAACTCTTTAAATAAATGCATTTGCACCAAAAGAAAAAAAGTTAAAAAAAAGGTTGAACTTACAAATTGGTGAGGAGATTGTGAGTTTTGTGGGGAAGATTGAAGAGAACTCACGGATGGATGCAAAGGACTTCTCGGAACTCCTTGCTGAGACTGCTGTAATTGTTGCTGCTGCTGCTGTTGTCGTTTCTGCTGTTTCAAGCGATAGTCTTGAACAGCAAGAGTATTCTGACGAGATTGCTTTCGAACCTTTATAAAAAAATTATGATTATTCCCAGTTATAAAGATAAACATTTAAAAAATAATAAAGTAAAAAAGCTTTTTATTTCATTGTATCTTTCACTCTAGATTCCTGCTTGTATTGGAGAGTGGAGATTGGAACAAAAAGCCTGACATTCAAGCTTTAACTGAAGTCCACCAAGTACTAGGCAGTAATTGAAGAGGTAAAAATGAGCAATTGAGTTTTCCAATTTTCATTTTTTTTCTCACTTTTTAGTTATTTTTCTCAATTTTTCCAGATCACATTTAAAAAAATTAATTTAAAAAAAATGTACTTTCGTTTTAATTATTTCTTCAAATATCACTGTTTTTTAACAAAAAATTTAAAAAGGAATAATTTTTTTTTAAAAATTATCTAAAGTGACAGGAGAAAAATAACTAAAAGGTGAGAAAAAAAATGAAAATTGGAAAACTCAATTGCTCATTTTTACCTCTTCAATTACTGCCTAGTGCTTGGTGGATTTCAGTTAAAGCTTGAATGCCAGGCTTTTTGTTCCAATCTCCACTCTCCAATACAAACAGGAGGCTAGAGTGAAAGATGAAAAGAAATAAAAAGCTTTTTTACTTCATACACATTTAATATACATTTTTTTCAATTATCTAAAGTGACAGGAAAAAATTGCTTTGTTATTTACATTTTAATTTAAATTAAAATCAAGTTATAATTTAGCATATATTCAAATTTCTCGATGCTCATTTTCAACAATGTATCTTTTTTTTTTCAATCAAAAAGAAAAAGGGGGACAGTAAATGTAAGTAAATTTCTAAAGGGGGACATTGGGCAACAAACACTTAAAAACCACTGGTTTAAGCCTTAGGTCCACAGCCCAATACCTTGTGGGTAGCGACCCATGGAGCCGCTGGTCTGAACCAAATTGTCTCTCAGACGCAATTACGAAAGCAAAAAAAATTTAGACTAGCATTTGATATAACAGTGTACCTGATCAAGCTGTTTCTGCAAGGCAGCCTGTTCTTGTGAGACTCTAGCCAACTCCACAGCATCATTTTCTGCTAACTCAGCTCCATTCTTTCGCAGCTGTCGCTGCTTAGCATTCAAAGCTTTCTTAGCCTTCCTCAGTTTAATGACTTCGGTTTCAAAATACTTCTGTCTAGAGGACAGCAAGGAATGCTGTTGCATTAAATACTTTTCATAGTTGATCAATTTCAACTTTTCCGGATCAATGAGCGACTCAGGAGTTGGAGGTGGATTCTCGGGAGCAGGGACGACAAAACTCTGAGTTAGAGTTGCAGCAACGTTACCTGTAGAAATAAAAAGAGAGATCTATACTCTGTTGCAAGTCCTCAGTTGTCATAGAAAAAAAATTTAACAAAATAGTTGCTTTTAGTAGCCTGAAGCCCTTAGTGACTAAATTTCATTAAATGACTTAATTTCCATTTATCCATTCAGTCAAGTTTGTGGCAAATATGATAATTTTTACATAAAATTTAGTGGTCTAGCACTAAATTTTTATATTAAAAAAATTAGTATCGTTGTTTCTTTTCATATAGTTGTTTCTTTTTTTCTTAAAAAATTAATGTTTTCCTTAGTTATCGAAATATGTCACCAAATCTAAGATTCCAGTAAGACTACGAAACTATAACCCTTTTTTAATAATTCTATGATATACAACTTAAAAGAAAGCACGATTTAAATTTCTGTACTATGAAAAGTCCTATTTAAATGAGTTTAGTTTTTAAAAGCATTTATGAGGCCAATGGGAAATAGACCCAAGCCTGCCATTAGAAGAAAAAAAACCAGGCTAACTTTGAAAAAAATTAATTAACTATTAAAAAGATAGCATTGAATTTTAATATTATACCATACCAGGAATTGCTGGAGCTGCCTTTTGAGGTAATCCTGATCCAGGTGACATTCCTAATGATCCTAATAATGTAGAAACAGCAGTCTTTGTCTTCAGATTTTGCATAATCGTAAGTTGCCTCGAAGCCGCCAAAGGGTTAGGTGGCTCCTGATTTTGCCACAAAAGAGAATAGGGCGGTGGTCCAAAATTATGAGAGCTTGGAGATGATGGAACACTTATATTGGGCACAGCATTGGACAAAGTAGGGTCGTGACCACCTAACAAAGAGCCGGGACCACCGAGGCTGTCATCAGGAGGGCCTGAAAACACATCATCCTTAAGCCTTTCAAAGTCTATATCACTTAGAAGTGCATCTCCATGAGGTGATATTAACCCATCTTGAGTCTGACGACGCTGCTCTCGCTTTTCTTGCTCAACAAGATCCTCCAAGAGTAAAGGCTGTTCTTGCAGAAGAAGTGGCTTATTCTGTTGAACATTTGCTGCCAGAACATTCTGCTGTGCCAGTGAAAGCTCTTGACGTAGGTTCATATTTAAATGCAGAGGGAACACACTTTTGTTCTGCACCGTCAAAGTATGCTGAGGAGATGATGGTTGTTGTACTACAGCTCCCATCCTCTGTTTGAGGGCTGTCACCATTCTATAGGATGGTGGAGGAACCAGCTGATCTGGATGTTGAACCTCTGCCCTCGATGCAGAAATATTTTGAACTTCAGGATTAAAAGGTAGACTGTGGGTTTTCTGCCGGTTGCAATGTTCCATTGCAGATTTTTCTAATTTAATGTCCACACTCGGAGAGAAGGATTGAGAGGAAAGAGTACAGCTTGAAAAAACTTGTTTAGGCTCTTCCTTGACGGTACTGGTCATCTGCTGTACGATTGGACCATCTAAACTCTTTGGTAAGTTTTGGAATCTGCTATCTAAATCTTTTTTATTGAAGTCCAAGAAATTGTCAGATAAGATATTGCTTTTAGACTCATCGACAGACTTTCGTCCTTCCATTTCTAAGCCTTTCTTTTCACCGTGGGAAAGTAAATCTTTGTCTTGCGCATCCTCTTTTATTACTTCTTCAGTAAGCTCCTCATCTTTATCATCTAAATCTAAATGCTCATCTAGTATATTGCTCTTTTCTCCCTCACCGCCTAAATTTTTATCAAGTTCTGGATCAGCATATTCCAATATGTTAAAATCATTACCAAGACCTAAAAAATAAAATATAAAAAATACATTAAAAATGCAAAGGTTGAAAATAAAATTCAAAGATTTGTGGTAGAGTGCCGTAGAGTTTTTATTAATTTATTTATTTTTTAATCAGGGCTCTTCGGTTTGCAAACAGATCCATTAACCACTATGGAAAAATAAATATATTTGTCCCCCCCCACAAGGTTTTAAATTGATACCAGGTTCTTAACTTCCTAGTCATAATTTTATTATTATTTGTCTGCCTAAAAGGCCATTGCAAATGTGTAACAGTTTAGATGTTTCAATATAACTAATGTTAGAAAGCATTTTGGATAAATATAGAACAAAAGAAATTCTATGTGTAGTTAAAAGAAATTTTTTGTTTAAACTGTACTTAGACAATGAAAAAAATAAATAAAATAAAAAAATTCCCTCGAGTTCAATGAGTTCGGGTAAACAAGAACAGAAATAGATTCTTCTTTTAACAAAGGAATGAATAACATTAGGCTGAGGAACCAAATGCAGCCATTGCATTCTTTGCTTCCAACTAAAAAATAATTGGAAAATTTAAGAGATTTACAGCTGTTTTTCAAGCTATTAACTTTTTATTGTTAAGTGTAGAAACACTAATTCAAAGTGTCAAGATTTAAATCATTTAACATTTTGATTTTTTTTTAAACGCTTTTTATTAAATATGTTTAGAACAAACATACATCAAGACTTTATTGAAACCTCTGAACGTTAGTTCCAACTTTTTCCAAACTTTTAGCTGCAAGCTTTCTTACATCAAACAACTGATTTCACCCGTGTTATTCAATTAGAGAGTGGTATATAGCAGGGAAATTTTTGTACAATTTTACCCCTGGGCTTAATGTTTGCTGCGTTAAAAATGAAAGCAATTCAATTACAATAAAAATAAATAAAATTATTTTCCTACAGAGAAAGTTAAAAACCTACTATAATTCAATCATATTAAAAAAGAGAAGTAAACTTGAAATGCTTGAATTCAAAAATAGTATACATAAATGCCAACACAGATAGGAAAAAATCCAGTAGATTTTACAAAACAATATAAATTTCTTGAAAAATTTTTACAAAATATACTAAATATTTTACACACGGGAGAATTTAGAAATTTTTATAGTTATCAAAATAAAAAAGGTGCAATACTTTCCAATTATGATTTAACATTAAATAATCCTGAAATGTTATGTATTATGTTTATTCATAATTTTGAATAGCAATAGGCCTTTAATTCATCAAAGATAGTAAGCTGAATTTTATAAATGAGGCTCAATTACTAGGTGACACTTATTTAAATGCTCAAGCAAGCAAAAATCAACACAAAAATTCCATTTCAATAAGGATTTTTTAAGGAAATAGGATTTATTTTACGGGATTTTCTAAAATGTACAAAAACCAGCAGAATTTTTATTAAGCCAGTAGACCAGGAGAAACTGGCAAAATCCAGTAGTCTACAGGAAAATCCAGTAGAATTGGCAGCTATGAGTATACATTGACTTTGAATTTCTAAAGACAAATTGATATTGTTCTTAAAAATAATTTAGCTATCATAAATTTATATAAAATCTTAATTCATTGCAACTCCTGAAACCCAATTTCCTTATCTTTTTCTCCTTTCTTCTCATTAACTTTTTTTTAAAGGCTTATCTTTTATTTTATTTTTGTGACCACTACCTGGAGCTCTAGATTATCAGTCATTAAACGGCAATACAGTGAAGATTACAGGGTTCGCCAAGTGGGCCCACTTTGAAAAAACCCGCCCGGGTTTTATTGGGTGGGCCCACCTTGAAAAAACCCACTTGGAACGATAAGTGGGTTTTTTCAACAAAAAAATAATTNTTATACGTAATTTTAATTTCACTTTCTATTAATCGTATTATAAAAACATGGAAGACCATTAAATATTTATTCCAGTTTAATTTTAATACAGGTAAAAGTCAGATGAAATTTTAGTGTTTACTTATACAACTCTATTTAATGAATAAAAATATTTTCACAGTGAAATTTATGAGCACTAAATGAAAAAACCCAAATTCCCCGGGTTTTTTCAAATAAAACCCAATTTTCCCCGGGTTTTTTAAAAAATCCCCGGGTTTTTTCAAACCCTGGAAGCTTACTATAAAAAAACTCAAATTGCCAAAAGTGGCGAGCATGTTTCAGACCTGATATCTCTCTCCCTCTCTCTATATATATATATATATGCTTTAATGTCAATTCCATCATATATCAATGTCATATTTTGGTAGTTACTTTTAGCAATCATTCTGCGAATTTCTTAGAAAAAAAATATTTTTTACGTTTACAATATAAAACTTTACATTTGTTTATTTTCTTACTTAAAACAGGGTTCCCACTCAATTTCAGAAACAAAAAATTCCCTGACTTTTCCAGGCATACCAGGTAAATTTCAATGAGAAATGAGACCATATTTTCATCAGAAAACTTTTGATTCTCTCATTTGTAACATTAAATATTAGATTTTCTGTGTAAAAAATATTATTAAATGAGGATGAGAATATTCCAGTTTGACTAAAATGTTAAATTCTTACAACAAAAAATTTTAAGAGATGTTAGAATTATATAACTGGAATCTCAATGACTGATTACTGTTACTGACAATTTTAAGACTGGTTATCTTCCCGGTATAATATAGGAATATTCCAGGTTTCTGTAAAAAAAATAATAATAATTGTAACTTGCTCTGGCTATTCCCTGATTTTTGGAGATAAAATAATATTCCCTGGCAATTCCAGGTTCTTCCTTTTCTCCCTATCCTGTGGGAATCCTGAAAAAATTTAGGGTGCATCCCCTTTTATTGAAAAATTTTATCTTGGAGAATTTTTCAATTTTTATCTTTTGATTAGAAACAGAAAAAGAATTACATAATTTTAATACATTTTTCAAAAAGTACCACACTCACCTAATAACTCATCATCATCCAATTCTAATTCACCAACATCCCCAACGTTCAAAACATCAAGGTTGCAGTTACCTCCCAACACATCTTGTTCTTCTTCAGGGGGGTTCTCGAGATCGTTCATGAGGTCATTTTTAGTGTTTGGGTCAGCACACAACTCATCTTCCATTTCTTGGTCAACAGCAGCGAGGGGCATGTAACTGGATTGTTGGGATTCTTTTTGAGTGTGCCCCAATAAAAATTCCTTGTGAGAACTTGATTGGGATTCTGGTCTTTCAGGAATGTCTAGTCGACGATTGGTCTGTTGCTCAGCAGCCATGGCTGTTTGGAAGGCACGATTTTGATTGGTCGAATCTGTCATTACATCACTTAATTTGATGTTGCCAACAGAACATATGATGTTGGGCTCACTTCTAACCATCTTATCTATAATTAAAAAAAATTATAAGTAAGAAAGAAAAAAAACACTTCTTCTAGGTTAGAAGCCCTGTGGCAGAATTTTTTAGAGCTATATGCAACAAAACTCTCTATCACTACTGTCCTTCTGCAAGATTTAATAATAACAAACATACATGTTACAAATTTAAAATAACAAAAGCAGTGTAAAACTATATAATTTTTTTAATAAAACATGTAATAATTTTTTAGCTTCATATTATGCATGATATTCTCGCATTTTGAGGGGAGGGGACACTTATTACTTCCTTCTTCGCATTTTGTAAATAATTATCATAATAGAATAAATAATTAAAAATCATGAAATCCGTAGCAGTAATTGCTGAAAAAAAGATCTACGTCGAAATCACGCAAATCGAGCTCTTCAAATGCGTGTTTCCTTTCGAGATTACATTGTTGTAATAAATAATATCACATAAAAAATATCGGATTTAAAAACTATGGAGAAATCAATAGCAATAACTACTAAAAATTCAACAGAATTATTGCCTTAAAAAGTAAATACTCAAATGCACGATTAGAATTTTCCATATTGTTTGAAATATATCCGGATATTTAAAATTCACATGAAAATCAATATAATTAACTGACGAAAATACAATCGAAGCATTACACCGATTTACGCTACTATCGTCGTGAATTTAGAGTGTCAAAAAATTATTATCTAAATGCATGATTCAAATATTACCTGAAAATATGTGTAGAAAAAAAATATATATATTTTTTTTTCTACTTTTCAAAAGAAAAATCTTTCTGCAAGAACTCTGTAACGTTCTACATACAACAATGTCGCCGTGTAGCTGCGATTCTGCCACGGGGGTTAGAAGTTAATTAGGTCAGAACTTACCTTCCGTCCTTGTAGGCAAAGGTGAATCTGGAGCTTTGTTTTGAAGGAGATCTCTCAAGTGCTGATGAGCTGCAAGCCTATTAGAATAAGGCAAAGACGCTTGACTAGCTTGAAGCATACTTTCCAAGTTTTGTTCCTCCAGTCGCTTGTCCTGAGAGAGCAATGCTTCTTTTTCCGATGCACTCGTAATAGGAAGACAAGCGTCTTTGTACTGGGGTGGCAACTGTTTCAGAATATTAGAAGCTTGAAAACTACCAGAAGACTGTTGCTGCTGAAGAAGGAATTGTTCCACGGTATGTAAAGCATTCTGTGCGGTGTGTACTTTGGAATTATCTGGGGGTAGATTGGAAAGTGTCACTGACGGTGATGATGGAACCTTTGACGGTGACTGTGTGTCCTGAGCACCAGCAGTAGAGCTTTGTTGAGCTTCCGAGGCACTCGGTGTTCCGATCAATTTGCTACGAGCTGGAGTCGGCTGGGAGTGAGTGTCCAAGGATGCCAAAAGCTGAGACTGAGGTGACGTTGACATTTGAAAAAAGGAATCTGAGCTGTGTGGTCTAGGTGTAGGTGGTGGCGTATTTACAGCTTCTTTTTTTATGGTAGGTGTTCCAACTCTAGTACCATCTGTTCTACAAATCAATAGAGGATTTGTGTTCCTAGAATTATTAAGAGCGGTAAACTGGGTGGTTGGTGAAGGCTGTGTAGAATGAAAGGGTGGTTCAGATTTTATAGGGTTAGAAGGTGACAGAGATGCATCCATAAGAGACATGGAAGATTCCAGCGGTGCGCGGACTTTAGAGACATGTAACAGAGATTGTGCCACTCTATCTTGCATCATTGATTTTTGCAGGGATGGGTGGTTTTCAGTAGGAAGTCTGTTAGTTTGTTGCTATAAAAATAAAATGAATTTGTAATCATGGCTTTAAAAAAAGGGAAAAATAAAAAGTAGATTACATGAAATACAGTCAAATTTATAAAATGCAAGTCTGGTTCATCGAGATCAGATGGTTGAATGATGAAAATTTTAACAAAGTGTTTGTTTGCTTAATGATAAAAAAAAACTATAAATAAGGAATTCTTCTAAAACTTCATGAAATTTTTTTTATCAAAACGATCGGAAAAATTGCTTAATGATTGGACTCTTAATGAAAATTTCATTTTTTCTTTCTTTTCCTTTCTTTCCTTTTTAATCCAATAGTAGAAAAGTAATGAAGAGCAAAGGTCTTTCAATTATCTTGTCATTAATTTATACAACCAGTTGATCCAAATGACTGTAATACTGCAACTACTGAATAAGAAACTGTGGCAGCATGTAACTTCATGTAACAAAAAGCTTTTGCTGATCAAATTTCTGATTGCAACATTTTGCTTGAAAAAAAATACTGTCATTGTTTTTGCTTCGTACCTCTAAGAAAAAATTTAGTGCAGCTTTTGAAAATTGTTGATAAAAAGGATGATTTATGGAAAATATGTGCCAAGGAAAAACTAAAACTAGGAGAAAGCATTGATTATTTTATTATACCTTTTACACTAATCCATTCATGCAGTAAGAAGAGAGAAAATATTTAGACAAGGATTTATTCTCCCCTAAACTTTTCCGATTTGTGGGAATTTTCTAACCAGTAGCCAAAACCAGTTCATAAAAGCCAGATGAATTCTTTATTAAATCAAGGGGAGCTACGATATAAAAAAATTACATAGCAGGCAGCTGCCAGGTATCTAGAAAGAAATTAGGACTTAAAAAGACCTTACCCAAAATTCCGAACTTTAAAAAATGGCCATTCACAAAATTTTAAGCCTCAAAAAGGAGAAAATTTTGTAACTTTTAGAAAATTCTACAGCCAAATCTTTCAACAAAAAATAAGCACCTTTTAGGTACTTTTTAAGCACTCAAAAATATTTTTCGAAGACTTTACATGATCATTATAAAATAACTAGATTTTGACAAAGAACTCTTTTCTTGATTATGTTAGCCATTAAGAAAATGATCAACAGATTTTATGGTTCGATTTCAGAGAGTAGAAAAGGAATCTTGAAATTGAGAATATCTTGCAAAATACAGCAGAGTTGCACATGAGAGTGCAATAATCTCACTGAGCCCAGTTTACTATATGCACACATCGACTCGCAAGTATTTCATCAAACCTGTAAAATGCAACATACACAAACCTTTGGACTGACAGTACGCTGAAATAGATAATGGTTGAATGAATTGTGAAAATGTTGAATAAAATAATGTTAAAAGCACGCTTTTGCATAATATGTGGCGAAAATTCTTCTAATAAAGAAACAAAATCACATTTTCGGAAAGCCAAAATTAAGCACTTTTTAAAAACACCCAATGAAAAAAGCACCTTTAAAGGCTTTTTAAAAAGGAAAATCGAAAATAAGCACCTTTAAGCACTTTTTAAAAACGCTATGCACCAATTTCTAACCAAGGAAAAGTTTACACAAAATACCCAACTTACTAAAAAATAAAAACTTTCTAATTTAAATAACTTTACCGTTCTTATAAATCAAATTAAATATCATAAAATGTTTAGTTCATATTACCTGCAACAAATTTTCAGAAGAGTTTAAATCCACTGCAGAAGAAGACCATCTTTTCTCGATTATTTTACTCGAATTAGGTACAAGGTTTTCTTCGGTTACAGTCCTGTTAGGAAATTGAGGAATTTCGGACAAGGATTTTGAGTGAATCAATTTGATATTCTTATCCAATTCAGCCATAGCAGCAGTATTTTCTGCTTTTTCAGATCGAGCTTTTAGAGCAGCTAATTAAGAGACGGAATAAACAAATGCATTAAAAACATGTACATTTTTTACCATATAAGAGTTTCTTTTAAAATTGAATAAAATAAATAAATTAGCATGTTTAATATTAGTTAAGCAATTAGTTTTTTTTAACAAATATGTGTATTAAAAACAGACATTTCTCCTTACAAAGGCTTCTTTTAAACAAGCAATTTAGTTACTTTTTATCAAATAATTACACTTTTTCTCCCATATAAAACTAAAACAAATTAATTAAATTTAATGAAAAAATTAATATTTAAAATAACTGTATTATCATCCAGTTTAAAAAATTGCTTTTAAACTGGAGTGGATGAATAAAAGTATTTTATTAACGATTAAAAATTTGGAAGAGTGTGAACTAATTGTAGAAACTGAAAAAAAAAGAGCGTGGGATCAGACAACCATAAATTGGGTGATGTGGACTACACGTCATACCACGTCATGTTCTTTATTGAATTTATCTGACACAGCGAATATAAAATTATGAAATATTTAAATGCGCGCAATAAACTATTTTTTTGTTCAAATAGAGCTACAGTACATAGTGAACCTTCAAGGGACCGAAATTTTGGTTCACTATAACCGGAAGTTCACTATATCCGTTACGCAGGAAATTTCACTAATGGTTCAGAAACTTCTCCCTTTTATTACATTATATTCATATAAATGACTGAAAATATTATGTAGTAGCAAAAAAATGTGTTATTTTTCATCACTCTTCGTCTTGCGTACAAATAGCTGATGAGCAACCCTCAGCATCAGATATGGAAACACTTCCTGACTCTCAGATAATTTTTCCTGAATTTCTGTTATTCCGCTTTTTAAACCCCGTCTAACCTCCCATTCGAGCACATAAAAGTAGTTTCTATAAATGGCTTTAAAAATTGGTATATGTATTTATTTTGAAGTAGAAATTTCAAAATTATTACAAAGAAAATGGGGGGGGGGGGAGAAATCAGTCGAAGACAGAAAAAAGTTCATTATATCCAACTTCCTCATTTTTTTGGTTCACTATATCCACTAAAAATAACATTATACGTGTATAGCAAGGCACGTCGAGCATTTCGAATCGAGCATTTCGTTCACTATATCCGGGAGTTCACTATAAGCCGTGTTCATTATAGCGGGGTTTGACTGTATAAGTAAGAAATTATCACTGATGTTATCTTAAAAATAGGTGATAAACTGAATCGCTTATCACCTATAGTAAAATGTAAAACAATGTCTAAGACTTAACTCATCAGAAAATTCCATTTCGTTTCTCGCTCATCCCTAGTTAATGAATGAATTAATATTTGAAAAAACTGTATTAACATCAAGTGTCATTCCACTACAAGTTTTAAAAAAATGTGTTTGAACTTGAATGGAAGAATAAAAAGTATTTTATGAAGGATTGAAAACTTGAACAAGATATAGAGAGAGGGTGAACTAATGGTACGAATTGAAAAAAAATAAAATAACTGTAAAAACATGCAAAAAAAAGTTTAGTAACTATACTTTGGAGAACCTAATTGGAAAAGTAAAATTAAATATACCGTATATTCCGGCGCATAACGCGCCCCGGCGGCACTTACGGAAATGCTCACGGTTTCGGCACCTCTTGGCATTCTTGGCGGAAACTTTTAAGTCAAACCTGCTCTGTCGCCAAATTGCTTTTGCGTAGCGTTTATAAATAAGGAATAGAATTGTTTTCACTATTTTATTACAATTTTTTTCATTGTTTTTGTNTGATATTCTTATCCAATTCAGCCATAGCAGCAGTATTTTCTGCTTTTTCAGATCGAGCTTTTAGAGCAGCTAATTAAGAGACGGAATAAACAAATGCATTAAAAACATGTACATTTTTTACCATATAAGAGTTCCTTTTAAAATTGAATAAAATAAATAAATTAGCATGTTTAATATTAGTTAAGCAATTAGTTTTTTTTTTAACAAATGTGTCTATTAAAAACAGACATTTCTCCTTACAAAGGTTTCTTTTAAACAAGCAATTTAGTTACTTTTTGTCAAATAATTACACTTTTTCTCCCATATAAAACTAAAATAAATTAATTAAATTTAATGAATAAATTAATATTTAAAAAAAACTGTATTATCATCCAGTTTAAAAAATTGCTTTTAAACTGGAGTGGATGAATAAAAACTATTTTATTAACTATTAAAAATTTGAACAAGATATAGAGAGAGTGTGAAACTAATTGTAGGAATTGAAAAAAAAAGGCGCGTGGTATCAGACAACCATAAAAGTATAAATTTGGTGACGTGGACCACACGTGCTACCACGTCATGTTCTTTATTGAATTTATCTGACACAGCAAATATAAAATAATTCAAGATTTAAATGAGCGCAATAAACTATTTTTTTGCTCAAATAGAGCTACACTATCTAGCCATTAATGACCGGACACTGTGAAGTTCGGTGGTGGAGGAATTATGGTCTGACCTTGGACCCTTGGTGTTAGTGCGTGGAACCCTGAACGCAGAAGGGTGTAGAGACATCCTGGACAATTCGGCACTTCCCACCCTGTGGCAACAGTTCGGTAATGGCCCGTTTGTGTTTCAACACGATAACACTGCCATTCATAAAGCACATGCCATCACGGACTGGTTTGATGAAATGGGGGTGCAAGAGCTTGACTGGCCATCCCAAAGTCCCGACATAAATCCAATTGAGCATCTCTGGGATGAGTTGGAGCGCCGGTTGAGGGCCAGACCACAACGCCCCAAAACCACCACTCAACCCTTCGCCATGTAACAGGAGGAATGGTGGGCAATACCTGCCGTCGTGTACCAACACCTAGTGGATAGCCTTCCTAGAAGGGTTAAAGCTGTGATTCGGGCGCGTGGCGGCCCTACGCCCTACTGACTTGATACTAGCACCTCATGTATCCGAAATGAGGGGTGTCCGGTCATTAATGGCCAGATAGTGTATAAGTAAGAAATGATCACTGATGTTATCTTAAAAATAGGTGATAAACTGAATCGCTTATCACCTATAGTAATATGTAAAACAATGTCTAAGACTTAACTCGTCAGAAAACTCCATTTCGTTTCTCGCTCATCCCTATTTACTGTATGAATTAATATTTGAAAAAACTGTATTAACATCAAGTGTCATTCCACTACAATTTTTAAAAAAAATGTATTTGAACTTGAATGGAAAAAGTATTTTATGAAGGATTGAAAATTTGAACAAGATATAGGAAGAGTGTGAACTAATAGTAGGAATTGAAAAAAAAAAAAAAATAACTGTAAAAACATGCAAAAAAAAGTTTAGTAATTATACTTTGGAGAACCTAATTGGAAAAGTAAAATTAAATATACCGTATATTCCGGCGCATAACGCGCACCCGTAATTTCCAATAACTTTTTTTAAATTTTAAGATATACTCTTCGTATAACGCGCACGAAAATTTGGATTGTACATGTGCAATATCTCGTCTAGTATCTATAGAAAACCAGAAAGCCTTTTAGTGTGTGACATGTTTTGGTCCCACCTTACAGATAATACAAAAAAAATTTTGAAAGTATGTAACACCGATATGGCAGTTATTCCGGGCGGATTGACACCATTCGTTCAGCCATTGGACGTCTGCTTAATCAAACCATTTAAAGCCAATTTAAAAAACAGTGGAACACTTGGATGTTGGAGGGCAAGAAAACCTTTACGAAAGGAGGACATATGCGTCATGCAAGTTTGGAAACAGTGTGCGAATGGATATTAAAAGTATGGGATGAAATTAAGTCTGAGATGGTTAGAAAACCATTCAAATAATCTGGACGGATCAGAAGGTGACTGTTTATTTATGGATGAGGGTAACACAGATGATGAAGACGAAACAGATTGTGATGACGTGCCTGAAGAAATAACGGAAGACGAACATAAAAACGTAATAACGAAAATCAATAAAGTATATAGGTAAAGGTATGTCATTTCCTTAAAATAAAAGTATTTTTCTATATTTAAATTTTTTTAATCTATAATTTTTTATATTCGGCGTATACCGCGCACCCGAAAATTCCAATGTTACTTTTTGTATTAAAAGTGCGCGTTATACGCCGGAATATACGGTATGTATTAAAATACTAACAGGGGTCTGTCCAGACATTTTGTGAAAGGTCCGTTTTTGGTGAAATTGTGAAAAAATTACTCACATTCTTTCAACCAGGGTCCGCTTTTATGAATTTGTGCAAATAGGGTCCGTTATTGCAAAAAAAAAAACCTTTTTCAAAGAGTTTTTAAATTGTAAAGACAGACAATTTTATGCTCAACACTGTAAAATTATAATTAAAAAAATTAAATTTTAAAAAATAAACAACAATTGCTGCTTCTAAATTAGAGATGCAACATACAAATATTTGGTATTTAGCCTATACTGCTGAACGCAGAATATTCATTTCGGACGAATAATGGAAGAATCGTCTGCCGAAGACAAAACTTAATTCGTTTACATCCATCTTTCTTGTTTTCTGCCCTGGAAAGGGTTTATTCGATTAACAAAATAATAATGAAGATAAACAAATTTGTGAAGGGTCCGATTAAAAGAAAAATCATTTTGTGAAGGGTCCGTTTTTAAGTTAAAATATTTTGTGAAGGGTCCGTTTTTATGAAAAGATATTTTGTGAAGGGTCCGTTAACGGACCCAAATTTCTTCTAAACAGACCCCTGACTAAAATTTTTTATATTTTGTATATTAGTAGATCAACAGCATGAAATGCTATCTAATAAAGTTGTATGCGAAATTGCATACTGTTGAGGTTATTTATTTTTCTCTTAACTTTTTTTGTGGTAATCTTGCATCAAGACAATAAACAACAAATCTGCTCTCCGCAGAGTGGCTCATTCAATTTAACGTATTTGTATGCATTTAATTTTAGCGGGGATCGAGGTCCGGATGAACTAAAAAAAAGGATTATATATATGTTACGTTGTTTGTGGTTATGAGACAAGTAAGTCATATGTGTCACCTTTAATGAATAATAAAATTAAAATAGTGGGTTTGAGATACCTTGCCTCTGTTCTTGTATAAGTCTCTGTTGAGCTTGTTGTTGCATTTGCCTAAAATGTTGCAACTGCTTCCATTGCTTTTCTGAATCACTGTCAGGTGCTTTATCTTTCGTACTTCTGTCAGAATCCTTCAAATAAAATACATACAATTCTTATGAGTAAAAATGCACTTATTTAAAAAACTGATATAATAAAAAAACTAAGAGAAATAATTTAATAAATATACATAATTTAATAAAAATAGCACCGATTCATACTAGTTGGGAACACTGATTTACACTAAATGTCATCCCTCTGATTTTTTTTAAATCTAAAAAGTTATAATTTCAGTCCCTGATTTTTAAGGTTATCCAAAAAGTTTAAAAATGTTTAGACTTTGATCATTCAGATTAACATAATGAATAAAAAACAATTCAGTTTAAAAGAACATGCAATAAATCACTTTTTTGAGCTATAACCTAACAAATGTCACTAATGTTATCTCTAAAATATTTGACAAAACTGAATGTCTATAAATTTAAGACAACAGCTCCCGTTAAACGTAAGAGAAAATTCCAATTTCAAAAATGTCTCTGAATTAAAAACATAATGGAAAAATCAAACTTGAATGCTATATTTTTAGTGCCTATCGTTTATCCACAACCCAGTATAGAAACACACGCACAGATTTAAAAGAGCTTGGAAGAAAATGCACATTTCAATTGAAAAGATGTAACTTGAAGCACACAAAAAAAATTATCTAAATAAATATATATCTGGAAAAAGTTTCTTAATTCAGAAAGAAGAAAATTTTCTAAATTTTCTTTTCAGCAGTTGCTTACAGTTCTTGAGCATTTTCACATGGTTTTCCGAAATCCAAAACTTTTAAAATAATATTATTACGCTACACCAATTTCAGTATTTGAGAATATCACATTTTGACATATTAAATCCATCCCATAGTAAATCCATGTGGCTTGAGTATCCTTTTTTCGGTTTTTTCTTCATGGTTTTCCAAATTCTGATGTTTTTAAGTAATAAAGTGTTATTACAACAGGAGACAGGCTTGATTCTATTGCAATTCCACGTTTTTCAATAAATTAAAAGTGGCGCGACAGCCCTAGAGGGCCAAGTCCTACTGTGCCCATCTCAGTTTTCTTGACCTTGGGCTCTGGGGTGCAGAAGCAGATGTTCCGGTCAGGTGGTCAGCTGAATGCGGAACCCCCAGTGTTTAGTTCCCAAGCATGCTTGGTACTCATTTATCGACCCACTGAAGGGATGAAAGGCTGAGTCAACCCTGCTCGGCCCGAGGATCGAACCAGGGACCTGTGGCACAGCAGCGCGAAGCGCTACCGCTCAGCCACCGGGCGTCTTTTCAATAAATTGAACTTGTTTTTTCTTCTAATTCAGTTATTTTAAAAACAATGTTATTACAACACATCTTTCGAATTTTAGTATACTGTTTGACACACTCAATTTCTGAGGATTCTATCGTAAAAACCACATTGACAATTCTTTTTCACCCTTTCAACACAGTTTTTTCCAATTCTGATATTTCATACAGTGCCACTGCTGATTTTTACGCATAAATTAAGCTTGCGGTTTTCACTTAATGAGTATTATTAGAGATTTTGAGCAATTTGGGACAAGATTGGGAAAAATGGCATTTTGAAACAATTTGGAGGTGTTTAGCGCAATGTTCGGCTGTTCTAACACTGTTCGTAGAATTACATGATAAAAAAAAAATTTGGGAAAATGCAATGACTCGTGCCTATCTATAAGGTGACCAGAAAAGCAATACACACGCTGTTTCGATTTCCGCACCCGGCTCCCACAGACCACAATGTTGACATAAAGTATCCTCACTTGTAGACGGATCATGGGTTAGACCCACAGCCGTCAGGCTAACTACGGGAAGTTTCAGTCATTTTCTTCACGNTTCTCAATATTTCTTAATTTACTTAAAATATATTTAAAATTTTACACATACCTATGATGACCTGGAGAAGTAATTGAAATTTACAAATATGTCTTTCTTTCTTGAGTTTATGATTATAATAACTATTTACTGATAAAAAATTAATATTAATCTTGAATATAAGCTTACAAAGTATCTCTCTGGCTCTCCCTTACAAACAAATAAAATAAACTGTGTTTTTAAGTTCCACCTTTGAAAATTTGATTTCCGGAAACTTTTGTGATCAATGATTTTTTGAAACGTCTGAGCCTTCCATCTCCGGAAACTTCCGGATGACGGTGAGCGAAAAATACGGAAATCCGGATTTTTTCCGGATCACAATCAACCCTGATAAGGTGACCAGAAAAGCAGTACACCCGCTGTTTCGATTTCCGCACCCGGTTCCCACAGACCAGGGTGTTGACATAAAATATCCTCACTTGTAGACGGATCATGGGTTAGACCTCTAGCCGTCAGGCTAACTACGGGAAGTTTCAGTCATTTTCCTCACGATGTAACCCAAATGCGGGCTAATTCCATCAAAAAGTCTTCCATAAAAAAATTTCTCCTAATACTTGATCCATGAGTTTCCTTGTCTTCTGGATTGGGTTCAAAATTATAAGGATAAGGAGTTGAATATTGGCAGCCGTAAACTGAAAATTCGGTTGGCTGCTCAACAATGGTTATAAAAAAAAGCACTACACCACAAACAGTCATCCTCTAACAAGTTTCACTATATTAAGTACAATTAATTAACCGTACTTACTGTACTGCTGGATCTCTGAGTTCTGGAGGCTGCTCTATTTTCTCGAGCTCTTTGCTGAGGAAAAAATAAAAGGAAGGCTTTGAATATCTTTTTACAAAATGAAAAAAATATCTTATTCAAGAAAAAAGTAGAATTAATTGAAAAACAATTTAATTTTAGTAGAATTAAAGACTAGATAAAATAGATTCATATCTTTATTTATTATGGTTCTGGTTTTCAAACAGGGCTTAGGAGCAAAATTGTCCATAGTCCTACAATAACTTTTTATAATTAGAGCTGTTCTGCAGATATTTGCAAAACTAATTAAATAAATAAATTAATAACTCTCTTGAATTATTACCATGAAATGACAAATAATATTATATTGCAAACCAATAATACGAAAAATATCAATAGGATCAGCATGTTTTGTTGTCTCCCTCTTTTAACAAGATCATAAACAATATTATTGCAAACTATTCTATTGGGGAGTAACATTACTGCCGTATAAACAATTCTTAAAAATAAGGTTTATCTCGAGTACAACAGATTAAACTTTTAAATTATTAAGATGATTTAAGCACATGGAGGATAATAAGTTTGTTAAAAAATAATAAAACTGGAAAAAATTACAACAAAAAAAATTAGAAGTTTTCATATGATCTAATAATTTAGCTTTTTTCAAACATTGCTAAAAAAGAAAAAAATTAAACCAAACTCACCAAGTAAGGCTGTCTTTTCTCTGGAGGTAAACTACGCCAAATTTTGGCAATTTGCTTCACCCTATCTGTCCAAGCTAAAAATATGTATAATTAGTTTAGATACAATTATGAAGATTCAAATAATGTGCAACAAGATATAAACCGATCTATTCAAAGATTATTTTTTAAAATTACAATATTTTAAACAAGGCATTTTATTCAAGTTTTCTCCCTTAATTTTTCAAGTTTTCTCCCTCAAGTTTTCTCAAGTTTTCTCCCTTATTCACTAAATAATGTTGTGATAGATTTGATTTATAAATATGGCACAACAAAATCATTAATGAAAAAAACAATATGCATTTACAAAGATGGAAAATCATTGTCTGCATTTAAAGAAACGTAAAATGTTGGTATGTAGATATCAAAAAAACAGCTGTTGCAGAATTAACATTAAAGCAAATTCTTAACAAAACAGCTAAAAGTGTAGAAATGTGGCAGCGAAATAGGGTAGCTAAATATGACACAACAAAATCGTTATTGAAAAATAAAACATTTGCAAAGATGGAAAATTATTAAAAGCTGGGGGAAAAAATAACCTGATTTTTTTATTTAGCTAAACTGATTTTTTTAATATTATAATTTAGGTATGAAAATTTTTTCTACAATATAATTAAAAAATACATCATTTGGGATGTATTTCATTTTTTAAAGTCTCATTTTCATAATGAAGACTTTTTACTTATATATAATAAAAAGGATATGCATTTAAATTTTCATAATTCACAATAAACAAAAAATTAAAAAAAAGGATGTGGATAATAATATGTGAATTTAAATAGGCATAATAATTATACTCGAGTATTATGCCTATTTAAATTCAGCACTTTGAAAACTTATTAAATATGTTGTTTGAGTAGATCAACCAAAGTAACTGAAAATTAATTTTTCAGATATGTTTTCTGATCTAAGCTTATTTATTCCTTATTATAAATCAAATTGACAAATAATCTTCTAATCTTTAACATTCATTAGCAAGTTGAGCTTGAAAAACTATAATCAATTTTATTATAAGTATGATTTAATTTATTCAATGACTTGTTTTTAATAATTAAATAATAACTTAAAAAATGATAGTAAGAAATGCTAACTATTTTAGCTATGATATTGTTTTTTAAATAATATTAAGTACAAATTACACATCCAATCAAATATTTTGGTAGGTAAATGATAAAAAAAAATCTTATTTAAAGCAAAAAAGTATAATTGTGATTAAACAAATCCGATTTTTTTCTTAAAAAAAAGTTATGATTTTTGCCATTTTTGTTTATTATTAAATCATTAATATTAATATTGATCCAATAGAAAAAACTATTTATTTCATAAAAACCAAATGATACTTGTTTTGACCCTCAATTCATAACATTTTGAAAAAATTTGAAAAATCATTGTTTTTCTAAATTTTTAAAAATTTATTTTCAAAAAATCCATTCAAAGTGGGCCCCTAATCATTGGGGGCCCCAGGCCATGGCCTAGTCTGGCCCAATGAGTAATCAATCCAGCCCTGGTAATGTTGCTTGCCTCTATGACTTTGGTTCACAGGTGCCCACCAGGTAACAATAAATGAGCAACACTTCCAGTAAAAGTGTTGCTCAAAGCAAAGAACGAAAGTTCAATGCCTGCCGTTACTAAAACATTTTTTATTTCCATTTGAGAAAGAGTTTCTTCTACTTAGGTTGAAAGAAACCTATTTCTTTAAGAGTGGCTTTTTTTCCCAATGTAACAGTAACTTGCCATCATTGTTCGAAGTAATAAACTTTTTTTTAAAAAAAAAAATCTCTTTCAATCTCCCAAAACATTCCATAAGATGTGGATACTGACCTGGATATTCAATTTTTAAATGTTGCAGATTTATGTTTGCGTACAAGACGGGTGATATTGTAGAGAGTAGACCAAGTTGCTCATCTGCTTCCCATTTAAGTAGGTTCTTCTGCATCTGTGTTTGGTCACACTCTGTATCAGGCCAAGAACTATTTGAATCAGGATGGTTAAGATTTTGTCTGAAAAATACAAATGTTAATTTCATTTTGAAACTTACTACACTCAGTTATAAATTTCAAAAATAAGAAAATAAGTAGGGGAAAAAAAGTAAGAAATGTCAAACCTTTTCTAACCAATAATCAAAATTCGATAACAGAAGAAATTCGAGATTGAATTTTGAAATCAATATTTTAAATATATATGTATGTAAATATATATATTTCCATTATTAATTAATTTTTCTTCCTATTAAGGGTTTTGTTTCTTAAATTATCTAAATGTTTTATTAACTAATTTTTTCTCATAGATAGCAGCATTGAAATAAAATTTGCTTCATGTTTTAACTACCAAATATACTTTTAAAATTACTTTGAACAATTTAAGCACTGTTTAATATTTTCTTCTTAGCGAATCTCTGTTAACTGTTAAATTAGTATAACTATATTTAAGGCATTTTTAACATCTGCACCACATGGGTAAGTTTGCATTTCAATTACGTTTTTATTTTCTAACCCCCTATATTTTGAGGGTCAGAAATTCAAATTGGTTGAAAAACAGGTATGTTGATTCAGAGAAAGTATGATTTTTGTGTCTGATTTCGCAGCTTAAAATATTGTATACAATAATTAATTAGCATGTTTGAGGTCACAGCCTCAAAACATTACATGGTGTGTGGCCAGTTTTTTCAATAAAAAATAAGCACCTTTTAAGTACTCAAATATTTTTAATCACTTTCCAAAAAAAAAAATCATATTTAGGATCTGTGCAGCAATAAAAATTATTTTTTTCTATCGTTTAAAGTTCTTAAATTATAAACATTAAATCAATAAAATTCAAAAACTTTACATAAACATGATAAAATAACCAGTTTCTGATAAATAATGCAGAGAAAATTGTGAAAATTAAGCATATTTTGTAATTTAGAACAACAATCGACACTCCAAAGAAAGAAAAAAGTCTCTTTCTAAAAGATCGAAAATTAGGCGCTTTTTAAAAACCCTGAGTAAAAAGAGTACCTTTATGGGTTTTTAAAAAACGTTAAAGAAAAAATAATCCCAATTAAGTACTTTTTAAAACCATCACTCGCCCTGCATTAAGAATGAGTTCTAAAAGTGAAGATCCAAGCAATAGAACAAAAGTTATTCAGGTTGGTCCACTTTTTTTGGAGCACTGCACATGCTCTTAATGATTTAAAACAATTTTAAAATTATAACTATTGGCATTGTTTATAAAAAAAATGGCAATGTAAATACATAGATTGCACTTACGCTACAAGTATAAATTATAAATGAGAAAGTAGCTACTTACAATAGGTTAGGATGCAAAATAGACTGATGTGTGGGACTCTGTTGCATAAGATAAGGTCCTCCTCCTTTATTAAGAAGAGATCCGGGTAAGCCAGGGGAAAGAATAGATAGAGGATTATCCATATTATACTTCAATCCTTAACAAAAAGTAAACAGTTAGATCTATACTTAAATGACCTCATTTCAATGTTAAATAATAGCAGAAAGAACAAAATCCAAAAACACATGCATCGGCTTATTCAGTTAAATTCTAATAAACAAAGCTAATAAAATAATGAACAATATCCTTTTTTTAAACAAAGCTATAGAATAATAAATATTTTACTGAAGAAAAAAAAACGGTAATAATGTTGCTTTTGTAGGTAGTTGCAAGCAAAAAAGGTAAAAATACTGGAGAGCAACTGGTGGAAAAGACTGAGGAAAATTACTGATTAAAACAGGTGAGAACGGCGAAAGCCGCAAATACATAAAACAAAAGTAATTTAAGAAAATCCAATAAAGTTGAATGGCAGCTTTAAAGCAACTCAACTTTGACGGATTTTCCAACATATAGTTTTTAAATTAATTTTAATTTCATATAGTAATTTAAGATTTTAAGATTAACTTCATATAGTAATTTAAGAAAATCCAATAAAGTTGAATGGCAGCTTTAAAGCAACTCAACTTTGATGGATTTTCTAACATATAGTTTTTAAATTAATTTTAAAAACCATTAATTTTTTTAAAATAATTTTTAAATAAAGTATAAAAACTTAAGAATCGTAAAATTTTTATTTTTTAACATTTTATTTCGTGAATATCTAAATTTGTCAGTATTTCATTCGACATGAACAGTTATTATTCGTAACTCTAAGAATTTTATTCTTTGAGAGCATAACAAAATAAATTACAAATTTCCAAGCAATCTAAACTCTCAATTTTGTAAAACATTTTTATATTCTAGGATTGCTGTCATATGGATAGAATCATATATAATATTTAGTATTCCTAATGTCTTAACACAGTAATAAAGTATTCTGAGAGTGCAAGGCTTCACAAATATTTACAGCAAGAAAAGGCTGTAAATAAAATTTAAATTGTTTCAGTACATAGTGCAATATTTGTGTTAGTTTTTTTTTAATATAGCACTCCGATAGACCTGAAAATTCAAATTTTCAGCAAGTAGCCAGTGGCTAGTAGAAACTAATAACTTAGTAGCCACTATTTCCTCTAACCTCTTTTTACTCAAATTAACCCTTTGCACTCCAAGTACTTTCAAATGCTGTTTGAACAAATATAAGCACTAAATCATTTGAAATATATAATACACTATTTTAATAAAATTTTTAAAATTCTTAAAATGTGGTTACTCATTTTTAAAGTATAAAAATTTTTAAATTTAAAGGGATGACTCTTGACGTTGCCTCAGAGGCAACATCGAAGAGCAAAGGTTTATATAATTTTTTTTTCTTAAATTCACATTAGAAATAATCTACGTATAAAAAGTTTATTCAATAATAAAAAATACTATAGACATGAGACAAAATTAGGTTAAACACACAGACTTGATTTCGTTGTGCACGAAACTTTGATGTGCATTAAGACAATTTCAAAATAAAAAATAAGGGAAAAAATGACTGGCTGCTTAATTAATTTGAGTCACCACTTTTTTTTCACTGACGCGTCGTGTGGCGAGTGGTTATTTTCAGGTCTATTTAAAGGCAAATATGAATAGCTCTATATACATAGATAACAAGTTAGAATTGTACCACAAGTTTGCTACATGAGGCAGAAAAGTAGACCATGACCTGACCATTAATAATCCGTGCTGTGGTTCTCGCATCGCAAGTAACGCGCAAGTAAGATTAAATGATATTGCAGTACAGAAAAAATTTACAATACTAGTTTTCGTCTTCAAAGAAAAATGCAAGGAGAAAAATTCTGAAGAAAGTCAAGGCCCTACCAGGCTGTAGGGCCAATTATGATGATAAACCTCAAAAAATTATTGAAAGTTGACTAAATAAAAGATGACATACCAGCTGACTCTTTCAAACTTGCAGACGACAACTGTTCTTCTTTAATGCTTTCTATTTCTGATTTTATTATACTTTTATCTAAAAAACATTAAAAAAGAAAAAAAATTTCATAGGTGTATTGAAATAGTAAGGATTTGGTGTTTAAAAAAACTGTGGACAATTTAAATCAATTGAAACATCATTTAAGATATCTATATTCTCTTAACAGATCAATTAAAATTCGATAAAATTCATTAAAAATATTTCATAGAATTGACAATAAAGTATTTAATTGAAGATACATTTTCTAGGGTATTATTTTCTATTAAGTTTAATTTGAATTATACAGAAAATTTGATTTACATGTATTGAACAGTTGAAATAATTTAGTTTTAGGTTTTATAAATCATTAAGATAATTTAAATTAGATTTATTAAATAATAAAAATAGTTAATTTTAATTTTGAATAATAATTGAGACAATTTATAATTTTTATTTTTTGTTTATAAAATAATGAAGATAATTCAATTTAAAAGAAAAAAAGATGCACAACTTTTAGTAAAGTTTAGCTTAACTTTGGAAGAATATTCTAATACATAAATCAACAAGAATAAGTGAGACTTTTGTGGCAGCACTTGTTTTGGCATGGTTTCAGAAGATTTGAGTGACTTAAGCAAAAAAATGATGCTTTATTAAATCACAATTTAAAAACATTTTAATAGTTTTTAAAAATTAAATAACAATGGATAAACTTATGGTCTTGATCATAAATAATAATGTCTTGACAATATTACCATTACAACTCTATTTACAAAGATGAGTTTCATAAATCAGGGGTCTGTCCAGGTCGAATTTACTACCGTTTAGCGGTACCTTCACAAATTCAACTTTAGGAAAAACGGTAGTTTCACAAATTCAATTTAAGGAAAAATGGTAGTTTCACAAAATACTTTTTCTTAAAATTTTATTTTTGTATCCCTAAGAAACGATAAATCCATATTTTTGTGATGATTTTTTAATATAATTTTTAATCTTTCACAAATTATGTCTAAATTTTCACAAAATAGGTACCTCTCAGAAAAACCTAGACAGACCCCTGTAAATTCTCATTCAATTTTTTAGTGATTATAAACACTAGTTAAATTTGTTTCTCCTGTTTTTAACTTTTCTTTTTAGAATATTTGGCAGTAATACAAAAAGTTAATTGCTAGTATTTCTTTGCAACTTTAAATATATATTGTGTTACAACTTAAATTGAACAAGTTGACTGCACACAGTTTCATATAAAATATATTATAAAAGTAAATATAACTTATTAAAAATTCAATATAATTTAATTTACTATTATTAATTGTAAAACCATAATTAAATATGATTATTATTAAATGTTGTGTAGTGAGTGTTAACATAAAATCACTTTAAAAATAAAGGAATACCACACCACCTTTAATTTTAAAACATAATCTAAACTAAAAAATTTTAAAACATAGAAAGTGATAATAAATACTACAACTGAATACTGTAAAATAAGGAATAAATATTCATTCACAGGAAAATATTGTTATAACTTTTAGTAATTTTATGCTAATAACCAACCAAATATATCTGACTCTTTGAAACAAAATTCCCTGTATTTTCCCAGTTTGCAATGAAAAACTCAAAACTCCCTTCATTATCCCTGTTATTATAGGCGATTTTTAAATTCCCTGTATTTTCCAGGTTTTTCTTGTTCTCCCTGTGGAGTGGCAACCCTTACTTATGATAAAATAGGTAATCTTTTTCACTCTTTCTTTATTCATAAAGAATTCAAGATGCAGCAAGTTTACAGAGCGCTAACATCAAAAGAAATAGAGATTTTGAATCACTTTCTCCAGACTTTTGCTACCTCTTTATTCATGCAACTTGGAAAAATTTTATTTTTTGAAACACAAAAAAAGTTTAGCATCTGTTTTTGATGTGGAATGAAAAATAATAAACAAAAATTTGGTCACTCTAATGGAATGAACACTTCGTTTCAGACATTCTATTTGGACATTTAAATAGTGTTGCAACTATATAACAGTAAAAGGGACTTCATTTATTGGTTGTAAGAATGGGAGGGTTCCAGTAATGGGGGGGGGAGTAAAGAGCATAGACTGTATAACAATTAAGTATTCATTAAAAAACGGTTATAATAATGGCTGAAAACAAAAATAAATCCAGTTAAAATAAACAGACATAAAATCAAAAAAGAAAAATTTCAACTTAATTACATGTTAAACTTGGATTGGTGAATTCTCTAGCACTGACGGCAGCAGTGGATAGGAAATCTTTCACATCCTGTAAAGAAAAATAAACAATAAATATTCCAATCAGTATTTCATTGAGTCATATTTTTATATAAAAAATTTTATTTACTTTTTAAAAGAAGATGCCATACTCAACATTTTAAAAATTTGAAACATGAGCTTGTTTTTCGACGTGGAACCAGTAAAACACACTTCAAATTGTAAAAACTGACCTTATACATGTGGCAGTACTTTGGGTAATGACTTAGTGGTATTTTTTGGTTATGTTATGAGGGCAATTATCATGATTGTAAGAAAAAAAATAATATATATAATTTTAATACAGATGTCACAATACAAGAAGAGGTAAGATAAATGTAACAAAGGGTAGATAGGGTAAACTTAATCATGAACCCAACAGTCTGGTCAGATGAGGAGTCGAAAAAATGAACCCTTTTATGTTAAATTTACTTTTTGTGCATGCCCCCATGTCTTGAAAAATTTTTAAGCAAATTGGACAATTTTACAAACAATTATAAAATTTGTTCATTTAAAATAATTTTCAATAATTATTATTATTTTATTTAATAATAGAAACAAAAGTATTTAAGATGTAATAGGTATGCAAATTTTATCATTAATTTTATACAGCAAAATACAAAATTTGATTGCAAGCAATCATATAATTTCTGAGTCATGAAATTTCAAAAAAGTCATACATTTAAAATTATGACTTGATAATAACTATTTGACCGATTTCATTTGCTGTTCATTATTTGAGTGCAATAAATATTAAAACACAGACAAATATTATATGACTAGGATGCCATAAAACAAATTTAAGTCATGTAAGGGTCCTGTGATTTGGAAAAAATTAAAGAACCTTGTGTTATGTTATTATTCAGCATTGCAACAAACTAAAATTTTTATTTCACAATAGTAGAAAGGGACCAGTTTCTGCCAAGGGGAACTGTAGAAAGACAGTATATTGGATATGGTTAGATCACCTGATTTAGTATGGTACAAGAAAAATCAGCTATAAAAGTTTCCACAAGCAAATAAAATTTCTAATAATTTGTTTCCTCATGATTTTAATGTCTCATTAAAAATAAATTAATGATGATAAAAGAATTATCTAATATTATAATATTAAAGATAATACTTTTTTCACAGATGCTGAAAAACAAAAATTTAAAAATTTTGAATATAGAGTATGACAAGATGTGCCAGAATAAGATTTTATTCAGTTTTAAAACAACAAATCAGATGGCACTAATTCATAACATACAAAACAGTGGCTTAGAGCCACGGAATACAAATTTTATGAAATTTAATCAATCATTAAAAATAAAATTTTATCAACTAAAAAAATTTCAAAAGATGGTGCAAAGCACATTTTATGGTACAGTGAAACCTCCAGGAAAGACCACCTCTATGTAGCGACCACCTCTATGTAGCGATCACCTCTATGTAGCGACCACTTCTATTTACGATCACTTTTGGGAGGCACAAAATTTTTTTCCGCTGACTTTGTATTGCAGAAAACCTTTAGGAGAGACCATTAAAACTTTTCCCAGCGACCGGGCAAACATCTGCACCAAGCGCAGTAAAGGTCAAATAAGGAAACACAAAACAATAAGATTTAAAAAAAAATAACAAAACAAATACGTAGATTAGAATGTATTCTAAATATCTGAGTGAGACTATTATTCAGAGAGTTCTTTTCGTTCATACAACCTCATGTTGCAGTCAAAGTGCACTAAAGATGAGGATATCAATGATTTACTTTTAAAGCTGAAAATTGAATTACAAAAAAAAAGTTTTTTAAAAATAAAACAAGCATCGCGAACAAACCTCTTCTCATCTTTTAAAGCTAACTAATTTTTTAATATAGAATTAAATGCAAACTTAAATGAAAAACATAATTGTTTATTTATTTAAAATAGCTTAAGCATTCATATTTGGTAAATTTGTTTTTGCACATACAGTAGAGTCTCGATTATCCGAGTTAATGTGGACCACGACTAACTCGGATAACCGAAAAACTCGGTTAAAGGAAAGAGTATAAAAATGGAGAGAAAAAAAGAATAGGTATAAATGTAATTCATTTAGCAAATACTAAATTTATACGAGTCCACCACATACAATTCATTTTATAATTAAAACCTTACTTCAAAGCACTTAAAGAGCATACTTAAACGAGAATTAAAGAGTTTTTACTAAAAAAAAGTCCTTAATCGTTCTTTGTTTTACATTATTTCGACATGTTTCGCCATTTTTTAAGGGATAAACAGGAAAGCTGGTGTCGCCTCTTCTTGTTGTTCTATATATTCAATATCACTTTCGATAGCTTTTATGATAGCTGAGAGATTTTTATATGTTGATTTTTATCGTCACTGTCTTCATCATCTTCGCTAGATTCATTTTCATTATTGGCGATATTAACTATCATTTCATCGGTAATCTCGTGTGTTCCTTCTGCTTGTTTTACTGAGTGTTTGTAAGAAAAAATTCAGCATTTTTTTCGGCGGTAGTTTTAAAAATAAAAAATTAACTAGAAAAAAAAAAGATCTGTGAAATATTTGATAGCTCGGATAATTGGGGCTCGGATAATCGGGACTAATTATATCAGCAGTGAAAATTTTTAGATGCTAAATTTAATTTATAGATCTGTCTTTTCATGACGCCAACAGAAAAAGCATTCCCACACCAAGAAAATGACACTGTCTAAAAATAAAATAATTTGCAAAAAAAATCATGTACCTCCGATAACAATTTTGAAGTCAACGCAGGTAAAATCCAAAAACGACCAACCTCCATCAACGACCATTTTACTGTGGAACGGAGAGTGGTCGTTGCAGAGATGTTTCACTGTATTAATAATTTTTATATAAATTTGTCTATTTCATTTAAAATAAGATCGTTTGCCATAATTCAAAACAGAACTTTTTACAAAGATCTAACCTGAGGCTTAACATCAGCAGGAACTTTAACTCGAGGCTCAGCCGATGGTGTTTGAGGGGCTTTTGGAAGCTCGGGCTCATGTTTGGTTTTATTGCTGCTGTTTTCAGAACTAATATCAGTGGCATCCCTCATCTCTGAAGATCGTCCTAATTTTTTACAAGATATTAACAGTTCCTTTCCAAAAAAGGCTTCCTAAAATTAAAAAGTTTTTTTTTTTAAAAATAAAAAAAGTTAGAATGAAACTAAAACTAAATATCTCATAAAGAACAATGTATAAATGTACAAATCATTCAAAATTGCTTCTATTTTATTAAAAAAAAGAGATTTAAGAAAATATTTTATGAAAAGAAACTACAAGTGAAACACAAATATAGGTTTAAAATTGGACTATTGTTAAACACCCCTAATGAAGTCATATACACAATAACAAGATCCAAAAATTCTTAAAAATTGTTTTAACTTTAAGATCAAACTAAATGATTACATGCAGAAAAATATTAGAAAAAAATTTCAATTAATTCGCCAATATTTAAGAAAAGTAAGCTATTAAATTATATAAAACTCTTTTGAAAGATTTGATTTTAGAAATAAATACAGTGAAAATAATTAATAGCCGAAAATTAAGAGCAGTCTATTTGTCAACAATAATTGGTTGGAATTATCAAACAATAAACGTTTCAGTGCATATGAGTCATTATAGTGCATATTCAGTTTTATTATTTTCATTACTTATTTTCATGAGCTAAAATAGATTTTCAAACTCTTCTGGATTTTGAATAACAGACACTTTTATTTGTTTGACAACTGCAATTCAGTAAATTTCAAGGAATTCATAAAAAATTCTCGTTAAATCTAAGCTTAGCTCGTAATAGCAAAGTTTAACTTGAGTCTTAAAAAACCGTTAATTAACCATTTAACCATATTAAACCAACAATTTTTAAACAAAATAAGTTTGCTAGGGCTCTCTTAGAACTAGTAATTATAAATGAGTTGCATTATATCTAGAAGTAGAGTAACAGTAATAACAATAAATCAATTTATTATTTAATGACAAAATAAAATTGAATTACATTGTCAAACATTACAAAAAAAAATTATATTGTTCAGTACTAAAAAAAAGTATAGAATTTCGCAGTGTTCTTTTTAATGGCAAGACAAATAATATAAAATAACCTTCGATGTACTTAGTACATAAATGTAGCAATACTGATACTTTTAACAAGAACTATTCACAAAATTTCAGATACCAATATTTTTAAAAATATTACAAGCCTAACTTCAAACATTGATAGTAGATATAAAAAAGTTGAAAATTTTATTGCTAGAATTTTCTATATCAAGATCCCTTTAGATCAAGTAATAGTTTTTTACTAATCTTTGACGGTCTTAAAACAAATAAATTTGAAAAAGAGAATAATTCAATTAGTTTCCTGCTTAATGGATTTGAGTAAATATGTGGAATGGATTTATATTTAATTCAGACATTGACTTTTTAAGTTTTTTGTTAAAAAGTATTTCAATATATACATATAAAATAAAAAGTTAAGAATAAGTAACCCAATTTCGCACTTAAGCTGCCAACATATAGTTCTTTAAAAACCATAAAATACAACTAAAAGAAATTAATGAATTTAATCTTGATCATATAAGAAGCAGTTTAAAAGAAGACGAGGAGAAAAAAACAGAAATTTGATGGTGATCTCCTACCAATACTGATGAGAAACTTAGTGTAAATAATAACAAAATTCTAAAACCAGAATGGAATTCTGAAAATTTCTGATGCACGCCTTCACTTATGTCTACGAGACAATGTGTCAACAAGTTTGATACTCAAAGAAATTTTATTGTTGAGATTTATATTTAAACTAGAACATAGTTTTACAGTTTATAGGATTTTTTAGGATTTACAAATTCTGTATTTTCTGTGAGGATTACCATTGAGTGTTGTCCACAATTTCTTATGACTTCAGCTGATGTTAAATAGAATTACAAATGGAATGGTATATAGTGCAAGTAATATCGTTAAACAGTTCAAGTACAATAAATGGTATGTCTTTTTTTTTAAAGATGAGAAGTAAAAATAAATGGGAAATAATCAGGGTTGGGTTTTTGACGTCAAAAAGTGGTTTTTGACATGACAAGGGTATAATACTGGTTTAAACCGTCAAAAACCCGTCAAAAATGTCAAAAACTAAAGTTTGCCAAAAAAATATATAANAACCTCATTTATCATTTTTATCACAAAATTATTTTATTTATTACATATTTATATACTTTCAGTGAATTCCATCATTTAATAACAATCATTTAATAACAAAAATATTTGATGTTAAAAATGCATATAACATTCAAGAAATTTGAAGCAATAAAATAATAATCTTTGCAACCGTACATTTATCAACGAAATAAAATCGGGCGGTGATACCCGACATTCATGTGAGCGGGGCTTCCCTGAAATCCAATTTTTTTGTAAATTAGTAATTGCTCGAACAATTTTTTACATATAAACTTCTTTCTTTGTGCAAATTAAACTTAAGACTACATACTTTAATGCTGTATGCATAGAAAAAATTATTTTTTTAGTATTAAAATGAAGTTTAATCGAAACATTCCACCAATTTTTCTTAATTTCATGACAACAGTGCAAGTACAATAAATTGCATGTTTTTTTTTTTAAAGATGAGACGTAAAAATAAATAGGAAATAATGTATCAGAAGCTTTATTATGAATTTTAATAACTAGTACTACCTGAGCTTAGCTTTATATGAATCTCCATCAACAGTACATGATGATAATTAAATTACCTTTTCTTTACTTTCTTTCTCATAAAATGCTTCTTAGATGATCCAGAATTAGTTCACTAATTTCTTTTCATTGGATTATTTTATGCATAGATATAAAATTAATTACTATATAAGTATCTGGTGTAGTTGATACAGGGGTGATTGTGAGGCCAAGTCAAAATTCCGGAAAATTTCTTGAGTTAAAAAAAGCAACAAAAAAACAACAAAAAAAAACAGTTTGAACTGAAAAATTAGAAAAAAATTTAAACAAGGTTTTTTTTCCTCTTTCTCAATATTTCTTAGTTTACTTAAAATATATTTAAAATTTTACACATACCTATACCTTTTACACATACCTTTGGTGACCTGGAGAAGTAATTAAAATTTACAAATACGTCTTTCCTTCTTGAGTTTATGATTATAACAACTATTTACTGATAAAAAATTAATATTAATCATGAATATAAGCTCATAAAGTATCTCTCTGGCTCTCCCTTACAAACAAATAAAATAAACTGTGTTTTTAAGTTCCACCTTTGAAAATTTGATTTGCGGAAACTGCTGTGATCAATGATTTCTTGAAACGTCTGGACCTTCGATCTCCGGAAACTTCCGGATCACTGTTAACGAAAATTCAGGAAATCCGGATTTTTTCCAGAGCACAATCAGCCCTGTTGATGGTAAAATTCTGATTCCACAATTGCACAAAGAGAGCAAATTTTCTCTTACATTCCAGTTACTATCATTATATCAATAAAACATTACGATCATTTAACAGATCATTAATTATTCCACAACACTTTTTTTTAACGATGTTAGAGGTTTTAAAAATGGATTAAATTTGTGAAAAGAGTCTCACTCGAAGATAGCTTGGGAAACTCTCATCCAACTGCGTTTTTTTCTTTTGTTTACGCTTCCTTTTAGGTTTGTCCCCACCACCAAAATCAGATTCTGCTCCAAAACTCAGTTTCTCACTTGGCGTGGAAACTGGAGGTTCAGCTGCAGGAATGGATATTTCACCTAAAATATAATCATAAATGGCAATGAAATACCTGCCAACATTGGAGAATGGAGAAATAAAATAACAGATTTTACCAGCGATATTTTTAAGGCTATAAGTTTTGATACATCATAATCATGTAAGTCAAAAAGAGAAATTCAAAATTGAAAATAATATAAGCACTTACATTAAGCGAAGCAAAAAATATGCATATAAATCTTAATCTAAAGAAGATTCTTTTAAACCATTACAGTAGGGAACCGATTATCCGGAACGGTCGGGAACATCGCTATTCCGGATAACTGATTTTTCCGGTTTTCTGAATCACTATAAAAAGCCATTTTTTTTTATTGTTCAACCCAACTAAAAAAAAAAAAAAAAAATTTGGAAATAATCCTAAAAATAAGAAGAAACGATGTAGTAATACACTGATGATTATTTCCAAAATGATGGTAAGGTAAACATCTTTCAAAAAAAGAATGAGAAATCGTAAAATCTTATGAGGAAAAAAAAAATTTCTTTTTAAATGGCAAGAAAATTTATCGAACTTCATTCCGGTTCTTTGGTTTTCCGGTTTTCTGATTTCCGGATAACGGGTTCTGTACTGTATTTTTAATTACTTAACTATAAACACTCAACATACTGCAGTAATGGCAATAGCACCATCTGTTGGAGAATAAGAGAAGTATTTTTGCCATCAGCGGATATTTTATTGCCCATTTTTGTTTTCTTTTGTTTCTTCAACAAATACGGAGAAATTTGAGGATATACGAATAAACAAGAGATAGTCGTGAAATACAGGAGTCTTCGTTAAAAAAACAGGAAACTTGGCGCATAGGAAATGAAATACAATCATAATATAATGGCCACCTTAAAGACCTACACAAAAATTACATTTTATACAAATATTTAGAGGCATAATAATAGAGCTAAAATAATTGCTACATTTATTTTTATTTCAATGCTGATCACTGGTCTAGTGGTTACTGTTCGGGTCTATGGGGGCCAGAGGTTGTAGGTTCGAACCCCACTGTAGGCATGAATGTAACTTTCTCTCTCTGTTCTATGTCTATTCTTCTGTGTGATTGAGCGAATGTAACACGTCCTATATGACATGGGCGATGCTACTCCAAGGCCGTGGTTTAGACACAGGTGCCCACTGGATAACAATAAGAGAGTAGCAATTTTGGTATTTCTGAGGTAACTGGAAAATAAACCCAAGTGCCCAAAATTGAAAAAAAAAATTTTTTTAACTGTTTTAATTTACATTTTACATTTGGATTAAATGTAAGCTTTATTTTTACAATTTAAAAAAAAAGTCTGCAAATATTAGTGTATTGTTTAGAACTTTAAATAAATAAATACTAACAAAAAAAAAAGCGTCGTTCGAACATCAGATATACATTGCAGATTTTTCCTGGACACTCAAATTTTGTCATTTAGACATGTTGCTATTTAACTAATTGAACTTAAATATAAACTCAAAGCATATTCATAGTTGAATTATAATATAACATGGACACTATCTTCTTTAAAATTGTTTATACATATTCTGGTTAATCTAATTTCACTTGATAAAATAATTAATAGATCGGTAATGGTTTATAGCATTGAACATGTAAGGCATTTAATTATTTTTTTAGTTTTCATTCTTTCATAAGTATGATAGTTAACCGGTGAGTTATAATCATTAACATTAATTAATGGTGGGCATTCAGTAACCTTCCTTTATTGATAAGTAGATTTTATTGGTTTTCTTTTACATTCTAGCTTGTTTTATTTTTGAAACATATTTTTTTTAAAAGTTTGATTTTATTAAATGGCAATAAAGATTCTATAAAAAGATAGTTTTAACATGTTTTGATATTGCAATTTTATTAGTGACAGTCAAAGTGCATAAAAAAAATTCAAGATAAGGTAAATTAACTTATTATAATTCAAATTTTCGCATTTCTTTTGAATAAATGTTGCAAAATATGATTGCTGAATATAACATTCAAAGCAAAAACAATAAATAATGTAAAAAAGTAATAAATTTTTATAAAGAAAAGAAAATATAAAAATATCTTTTTTAACTTAATGACTTAAGTTCTAATTCAAACAAATTAGGTCTATAAGAAAATTATAGACATTATTATTAACAATTTCAGTACTTTGAGCTTCACAAAAGACATATTTGGAATAATCAGATAAATTTTAGTTAAAAGAGAAAATTAATTTTAAACTCCTTTTTTAATGATTTTTTTAGAGCAAAATTTTTACTCAAAAATAAACTCTTAATAAAATGTAACGGCATTTAAAAATTGCAGACATTTCAAGAAAATTTTAAAACAATTTAATTCATTTGTTGATTATTATATTCCAAAATGAAGCCAATTAATTACATCTGTGATTAACAATTACTGTGATCATTAAGAGCTGTGACTATATTACAAAATATTCATTTAATTGCCAAGCAACCTGGGAAAAAATTTAAAAGAAAAATTTTTTATAAAATAAAACTGAAGGAAAAAAGATAAAACATAACTGCAAAGGAAATAAATCTTAAACTAATCTTGGGTGTTTCAGCTGTAAAGGATTAAACACTAAATTATCAGTTAAGGACAAAGCACTAACACTTCTTTAACTAAATTTAAGAATTTCATAACTTGAGTTTTAAAACAAAATGAAATAGTGCAGATAAACAAGAGAAACATTAAAAAAGTAAAATTGCTCTTATAGAGCAATTTAAGTTAATAAAAAAAAAGAGTAAAAATGTTCTATAATGACAGTAAATAAATTAATATGTGAATAATAAACAGATTAGTGTATAAAAAATAGTGAACACCAAGCTAGATATAACATTTCATAAAAAGTTTTCATAAAAAGTTTTCAAAAGCAAGTTACTAAATAACTACACTTAAAAAAAAATGTGCGGTAAAAACTAACTTGTAATACATTCATTCATATATATGCAGAGAAATACAGTTAAGTAGCTTTAAATTATATAAATCCAATTTCAACATTCAAGTAAATGACATTTCTTAAAAGTTACGAACATAACACAGTAAATATTACACACACTTAAAAACTGTCCTGTTGGTGAATGTATATACAGTAGTCAACCGATTATACGGAACGATCGGGACCATCGCTATTCCGGATAACTGATTTTTCCGNGCCGGTTTTTACCAGGTTTTTGCCACTGTCCTGGCAAAAAACCCTTTTTGCCGGCAAAAACTCCAACCCTGCTTTAAATTATATAAATCCAATTTCAACATTCAAGTGAATGACATTTCTTAAAAGTTACGAACATAATACAGTAAATATTACACACACTTAAAAACTGTCCTGTTGGTGAATGTATATACAGTAGGGAACCGATTATACGGAACGATCGGGACCATCGCTATTCCGGATAACTGATTTTTCCGGTTTTCTGAATCACTACAAAAAGCCGTTTTTTTTATTGTTAAACCCAACTAAAAAAAAAAATTTAAGGAAATAATCTTAAAAAGAAGAAAAAACGATGAAGTAATACACTAATGGTTATTTTCAAAGTGATGGTAAGGTAAACATCTTTCAAAAAAGAAAGAAAAATCCTAAAATCTTACGAGGAAAAAAAATATTTTTTAAAAAAATGGCGGGAAAATTTCTTGAATTTCGTTCCGGTTTTTTGGTTTTCCGGATAACGGGTTCTGTACTGTATTACAATCCAGACATGAAAATTTAATACAACCAAGATATTTTAAAGATCTAAATAAATTAGCACATAAAAATACTGAAAATACCAGACAAAAATTACTGGATTCAGTAAAAATACTGAAGAATCACAAATTTTACTACAATCTCACCTGATTCTCCAATTGAGTCTTTGGTAGAGGAACAACGTCCACGAGGTTTCACAATAAAACCTCCGATACCTGCAAATAAAATCAATTTTTTAAAAAGAATGCAAACTTTTTTTTCAATATTATATAAAAATCTTTATAAGACAGCAGGAAAAACTTTAAAGATATTTAAGTAAATAAATAAAAAATTATTTACTTATTATTTATTAATTTTTTTACAGCAATTAGGTGTGCTTAGTTATGGTTCAATAATACAAACAAGTGTGCTGTAACACAAATTACAATTTGGCATACTAGAAGATGGTCATAAGTTAACTCTGAGGGTTAATGGAGACGGAGGTAAGATTCGACAGATTTATATGGACATAGAAAACCTTATCATTCAATTTTTTCTCACAATTCGTTAATAGGCTCTATAACATTACTTGGCTCCTATCCATTCTCTTGGTAGCATAAATTATTTAATTGAAAGAAAAATCTTGATACATCTAATCAATAAAATAATGATGACAAATAAAATAAATTTTTAAAAAATGCAAATTACTCAAACAAAAAACTTAGGGTGGAAATTTTTTTTTAATTTTTTCTTTGTTACACAAATAAATTATTATTTTTTAGAAAGGTAACTAATCTACTTAAAATGGAAATCAAAGAACAAGATGGGTTATGTTTTTCCTTATCTAGAATTGATGTGTCAAAATCTTGACATGCTGAGGAACAGCAAAAAACAATATTACTCTTTTCATGGTAGTTCTCTGCTTAAATAATTTAAAAGGAACTAAGTTCTAGATACATCTTATCAACAAAATAATAACTAAGAATTAACATGAACAAAATAATGATCTAGAATTAATTTGTCTTAATGTAGTACAAGATCTAATCATCACATAATTTTATAAACAGCATTCCTGGTTGTAAAACAACAAATATCCCATTAAAGAAATTTCTGTAACAGGACAAGAACTATTTACAAGCTATAAGAAAAGTATTTGCTAAGCCTCACAATTCGAGGTTTGCATCATCCCTGTCGCAGAATTTTTGGGGGCTTTCTATGACATACCTCTCTAATACTAATATAACTTTCTACAAGATACTTTTAAAAATAACAAATATACATGTCACTAATTTAAAATAACAGAAGCGTCAATTTAAAAAATAATGTTTTGGATCAAATAAAATAATTTTTTTAATCCAACATGTAATATTTTTTTATTCTGATATTATGGGTGAGATTCCTGCATTTTGTAGGGGGAAAACAAACTAATTATTTCATTTTTCACATTTTGTAAATCATCATCACATTAAAAAAAATAATTAAAAAAACGTGAAATCCGTAGCAGTAACTACCGAAGAAAAAAAAGATTGATGGCAAATCGGACTCTTCTCAAAGGGGTTACTAAATGCGTGTTTTCCTTTCGAGATTCAATTGTTGTAATAAATAATATCGCACTAAAAATATGATTTTAAAAGCTATGTGGAAATCAGTAGTAATATCTTCACTAAAAAATTTAATTAAAAGTTCTGTAGAAAAGAAAACCAAAATTCTATACTTCCCAATGATAAAATTTTTCGGCAAAATTTCCTTAACGTTCTGCGACAATGTCTCCATGTCGCGACAATTCTGCCACGGGGTGCATCATAAAATACTACTGTATACTACTATGCAAAAATCTTGACATGATGAGAAAGAAACAAAATTAGTCTCGCCAAAGACAGAAATTACCTAGTTTTTGTAGTTTCCTAGGCCTCTTCTTCTTATCATCAAATACACCATCTTTGTTAGCCTCTGAACTATCTTTTTTATCATCTTCAAAATCATATGCTTTTAATCCAAGTTCTAAGGAAGTATGTTGTTGTTCACTTTTAGGTTCGTCAGAACCTAAAGTAATGTAAAATGCAAAAATTAAATTACAGAATATATGGAAATGACTCATATAAAAATGCAACACTTATTCCATTAATTAAAAAAAAAAGTTTTATAATTTTAAACATCAATACTTCTTGACTTGCAAATGTTATCAGGGAAGCCTATTATGAATTGTTCTTTACATATAATCAGGGGTAATTGTGAGCCCAACTCAAAAAATCCTGAAAATTTCTAGAGTAAAATCAATAATGATGCATTTCAAAAAATTAATGTCCTTATAATTTCAAATCATTGATATTTTCACAACATGAAATTCTAAATAAATTATATGTAGCATAATTTAAATTAATAATTACGTATGAGTTCACTCTTATCTCTAATAGCGCTTATCATTCTACCAGAAAAAATATTTACAAATAAAAGAGATGCCAAGTTTTTTTAAACATATTTTTGTCAGTTTAAAAAAAGAATAAAAGATATGAAACCATGAGTACAGATTCACTGTTGCCAAAGACACGCAGGAAAATATACTTCGACTTTTCCAAACTGATTTTATAATTTTTTTCTGATTTTTCTAACAGGAGGCACAAATTGTATTACTAATTTTTCAGTTATGTTTTATTCTTATGCATGAAATATAATACAAAATACTTATCCTCAACATTAGAGTTAAAAATAAACAACTTTTTTTATAAAAAAAATTATAACAAGATTAATTTTCTGAGAAAAAATATTAGACTTTTAGACTTCTAAAACTAATTCCTTTTCCCTGATACCACGGGTATTTTAGTAAATTTCCTGACATTTCCAGAATGATAAAATATCTTATTCTGTCGCCATTTTACTTTTCAAACTATAAATACATATGGAGACAAGGATAATTAAACTACCAGCTGGGGTTGTGGTGTCCATTTTTTCAAACTGAAGGGTGGAGTCCTGCAAACCAAACATCCCAAGTCTTGGTTTCCTTGGACGAGGAATTTTCTTGGGTTGTTCTAACTGAAGTGATCGAATGTAATTCATACCACTTTCTGATAAACACACACCGTCCATAAAATATTGGATAGGTGGCTTTGTTTTAACAACAACTGGGGGAGGAGGTTCTAAAAAGAAAAAAAATGCTTAAACAAAAAACATTAGACAAAAAAACACATTTCTTTAAAAATTCAGACAGGAAAAGAGATTAACTAATAAAAATTCGGCAGAACATGGTGCATAGACAAATCTTTCAACAAAAAATAAGTACCTTTTAAGTACTCAAAAAAATATTTTTAAGCACTATTACACATTAACAAAATGCAAAATAATTTTCGAGCACTTTACATGATCATGATAAAATAATTTCTGATACAGAACTATTTTCTTGATTATATTAGCCACCATAAAAACATCTTAAGATTTTTCGGTTCAACTTCAGAGGGTGGAGAATGAAGCCTGAAATTGAGAATATCTTGCAAAATGCAGCAGGGTTGCACATGAGAGTGCAAGAATCTCGCCGAACCCAGCTCAGTAAACTCAAGTGCGAACCCGAAAGTATTTCATCAAACATGTAAAATGATTAGCGCTTTCTTACGTTACGGAACGAGGGTATGCCGAAATGAATTGTGGTTGAATGAATTGTGAAAACGTGAAACGTGTGAAAAGCACGCTTTTGCAGAATACGGGGCAAAAATCGACATGGTAAAGAAAAAAATATTACTTTTCGAAAAAGGAAAATTTAACACATTTTTAAAACACCCAATGAAAAAAGCACCTCTAAGGGTTTTTAAAAACAAAAATCAAAATTAAGCGCCTTTAAGCACTTCTTAAAAATGCTACACACCATGCAGAACAATGTGTATATGATTTTAAACCTGTCTACTCATCTATTATGATTTAATTCAAGTTTGTTCCTTAATCAAATAAGTAGAGTTTCAATAAACAGTGAAAATGCTGCTTAACAATCAAAAGTAATTTAAATGATGATCTCACAATTAAAAATTCTATGATAAGATTGTTGATTTCTATGATAAAATTGTTGATTGCAATCAATCATTTTAAACCACTATTCGCTAAAAACCTCTCTAACTTACACAAATGTAAACAAAAAAGTTTACAGTTAAAAAAATTTCTATAATTAATAATTAACTATGTATTAACATTTTACTTTATTTGTTTAATTATTTACTGAAATGTTAGTATGAAAAGCCAAGTAATCCAAAATTGATACATTTGTTTGATATTTATTCTAATATTCTAGATTTTTATTCATGTAAATTATTCATTAATTATTCATGCTTAAATTATTTCATGATTGATCTGTTCCAGACTAATAATGCTCCAATGTTTAGAAGGTAATTTTAAAATGCGTGAAATGATCTATGCAACACAAGATTTCATGAAATACAAAGACTTGTGTCTCCAGGTTAGTATTACATACCTGCTAATATTGGAGAAATAAAATAACAGAGATTTTACTAATGACATTTTTTACGCTACGAGTTAAGTTTTAATACATCATGAATATTCATGTAAGTTTAAAAGAGAAATTCGAAATCAGAAATAAAAAATATGCATACAAATTTTAATCTAAAGAAGATTATTTATAATTACTTGAACTATCTCATTTTATAACCATCGTTGAATAGCCGACCCAATCTTTTTGGTTTTCGGTCTTAAATATTAAACTCCGTAGCCTAGTAATTTTGAACCCAATCCAGAAGACAAGGGAACTCCTGAATCAAGTATTGGGAGAAATTTGCAGTCGTGGACTTTTTGATGGAACTAACCCACATTTGCATTACATGGAGAGGAAAACCTCTCACAGTTAGACTGTCTGCGACTCTAACCCATGATACGTCGACCACTGAGGATTTGTATCAACATGCCATCGATGGGATTCGAGCCCGTTTCAACTCGAACTCATTGGAAGGAGAACATCCTACCCCCTAAGGGATCATGACTCTACTTAAACTATTTTATATTTTTATTTTATATCCGTCCTTGAACAGCCAACCTATTTTTGGATCTACTTAAAATATTAACAGTCAACATACTGCAGTACTGGGGAAGGATGTTTTGCCATCAGCGGATATTTTATCGCCAAAACATTTCTTCCACAAATACAGAAAAATTTGAGAATACACGGGTAAACAAGAAAGAGTCATAAATTACAGGAGTCTCGTTAAAAAACAGGAGACTAGGCGAGTATGGTATTATAAAGATCTGTATATAGATATAAAATTTTTAAAAAATTTATCCAGAAGCAATAACTCAGAAATTATCCACTTCAATTTCAAATTGCTTAATCAATTATGTTAAATTGTTTTACTGTGGTGTAGAAGAAGAAAAAATTTAAAGCTGAAAAATTCTTTTTATAAGGCTTCATAATAAAAGTTTTGAAAATGAAAAGCTATCTAGTACCTGGTTCTTTGATTTTCAAAACAGGGGAAGGATGTTTTTCAGGTATGGGTTCTTCTGGAGTTGGTGGACTTGGTGGTGCTGAAATGAATAATGAAATTAATTAGAAATTAAGTCATTTAAAATCATGTTCATTTTTACAACATAAATTTAAAACTTTAACAATTTCCTCTTTAGAATCAAGGTAAAAAAAGATGAAAAGTATTTAACTTTCAAAAAAAATTATGTTGAAAAAGCCTATATCTGAAAAAACCTTAAAAATTTCTGCAAAATCTGCTGATTTATTAATTTTTTAAAATATGTTTTAAAGTATTTTTTACAGTACAGTATACTCTCGATATCTCAAAGTTGAAAACTTCAAGATAGCTAGTTTGTGAGATAACAAGTTCAGAACTAAATATGTTTTAAAAAGTAGAAAAATATATTCTATAATATTACTCTAAAAAGTGGAGTCATGAAACACAAGAATAACTACGGCGTGTCACCAACGATGAAATCAACAAGAGAAATTAAATTTTCTATCGGTAATAGAGAAAAAAAATTGGCAATGTTTATTTCGTTCACATAATCAGCAAAAATTCAAGAGATTTTTCGATTCGATTACAGAGGGCGGAAAATTAAGTCTGAAATTGAGAATCTCTGGCAGAGAGACAAAAATACTTACCACTGAATACAGTTCAGTATACGCAAGTACCGACACACAAGTATTTCACCAAACATATAAAATAAATGGTGTTTTCATACACTACAGACCGACGGTATAACGGAATAGATTGGGGTTGAATAAATTGTGAAAACGTTGAATAGGAAAATGAATAGGACAATTTGTGAGGAAAATCAACATGGTAAAGAAAAATATCACATTTCGGAAAGAGGAAAATTAAGCACTTTTTAAAAACCCCCATGGAAAAAAACACCGAGGGCTTTTAAAAAATGAAAATTGAAAATAAGCACCTTTAAGTCCTTTTTAAAAATGCTACGCACCCTGATAAAACATACTAGAGTTCAGTAATACTTGTTTTACCCTACCTATAGAAAAAAGCTATTTTAAATTATTATTTAAAAAAAAAAAAACATTATGAATTACTAAGAAAAAGATTTTTAAAGACCATCTAATTTTGATCTTTGAAAAAATTGATACAGAAATTTTGGTTTTAATTCTTTGTTGCATTATTACTGCATCAATTACAAATCACACTTTTTTCTTATCTTAAAACTATCTTTTTATGTATATAATTGATAAAGAGATTTATAATATTTTAAATGAGGACACCCTCTTACGTAAAAAAAGGGAAACCAGAAATGTGGAAATCCTACGCGCCCACAGTTTTAAAATTCACTTAATAACCACGGCAAAATCCTTTTAAAAAGAAAATTTTTTTTAAAAACTTACGCAATAGATGTGGAGGTAACTCATCTGGTGACCTGCAATGTGGGCAATTGTAGCCATATTCTGCACACTTATCAGCTTGGTCTTCTGTTTCAATTTGATCACAAAGTCCATGCAACCATCTACAGTAACAACAGCTCAATTTAAATCTTTTTTTTTTTCACAGGTGTCAGATCGCTTAAAGGTAGAAATACAAAGAAGAGCACAAAAAAATAGGGCATTAACCCTGGTGGGTTGCAAAATTTTATTTTTTAAAATATCATAAAAAAAATCGAATTTTGTTTTGTTTTTTTTTTTACATTTTGCATTCAGAGCTCTGATAAAGTGCATTATTAATGCACAATAATATTCAAAAACATTATAGGAAAAATATTTAATGACAATTTAGTCACTGAATAAATAAAATCATAGTACTTATACAATCATAGTCGTTGTAATTAAATTGCATTATTTAAATAGACTAGCTATGTATTTATTAAGTTTTAAAAGTACTTGCATTTAAATAAATTTAAAAGTAGATAAATAATAGAAACATAAACATCAAAGAGCGTTTTAATTGAAATATAGCTTAAGGAAAATTATAATTTGAAAGTTTCATGCCACTTTTATCCACATTTAGTTTATTTATTATTTTGTTTTTATCATCAAATAACAGTTTACATACATTCCTTTTCAATTATATCACTCAATAAATCCTACCTTATCAATAAAATTAGACTTTAAAAATATAATTCGATTGTGTAAAATAGAAACTTGTAGTTTAAATAAGAAAGACTCTAGAAGGAAAACTGGGCGCAAGAACTCTAGTTAAGTTAGCAGAACTTACAACAACAACACAATTAGTGAACTATCACCTAGGTAGCCACATTCCAATATCCCTAAGTGCCAGCAGTCGACTTTAGTCTTTAGCATTTTAAGTTTTATTTTAATGTTTTTTATATAATGTTTTGAAAAATGTAAGAAAAATGCCTTATTACCTGTCAGTTTTAATATAATCTGTTGTTATAAAAATAGCAGTAGTTTACAAATGTAGTCTCTGTTTAGAAATGCACTCGTCTAATTTTTAAATTTCAGCCCTTTAAAAAAAAATGAAATTGAAAATACTCGGTGAAATGATACCTTTCACATCTGCCACATTGAACAATCAAATCGTTCTCTTCATAATACTGATGGCACCAGCAGCATATTCTGAAGCTAGCACATGGACCACAGAGAGTATAATTTAGTTGCCAATCGCAGTTAAGTCCAGGTGACTTGGAACCACATTTAGTACACACAACGCACCTACAAAAAAAAAATAATAATAAATAAATAAAAATTATTACACTTTAGCATGAATCATAATTCTAATCAGAAAAAAATGAGCATTCAATTGCATAACAATACCGTGACATTAATTTCTTTAAATAAAATTTCAAAAAAGTATTTAATAGTGTGCATAGCTAAATATTTCAACAAAAAATAAGCACCTTTTAAGGTCTTTTTAAGCACTCAAATATTTTTAATCACTTTCCAAAAAAAATTATAATTAAGATATGTACAGTAATAAAAAAATTTTCTTTCTATTGTATAAAGTTCTTAATTTATAAGCATAAAATCAACAAAAAGTGTTTCAAAGATTTTACATAAAACTTTACATATTTCTGATAAATAATGCAGAAAAAATTGTAAAAATCATATTTTTTAATATAATTGTAAAAATCATAACCACCTTTAAGGGCTTATAAAGAATATAAATCAAAAATAAGCACCTTTAAGCACTTTTTAAAAAAGTTATGCATACTGCTTGAAATTATGTTGAGTCAAATTACACATAGTATATTCGCACAAGAATCAGAATTAAGTAAACTGCAGGCATGATGATTTAAAAGTGCTATAGACTAAGTCTGACACTGACATAGATGACAACAGTAGACATTATAAAATAATATAGCTAATTCTTAAGCAGTATTCAAAATATTGCAGGGAATTTTAGTCAAACACTATAATAAATTTAAATTGACTGCAATATTTTCTATCCAAACTTTATTCTAGTTTTGTTTACTCAACTAAGAGAACTTCATAATTGAACAGAAAAATAAAATTTACTGAAACAAGCTTGAATCTGTGCTCAGATGAATAAAAATTTGCTTATTTACACAAATATGTGACAAACTATTTGCATAATTGATGTTAAAATATAAGTTAATGACATTCAGTACGAATAACAACACTAATTTGTAGGATTCACACCAGCAATGAAAAGTTAGTGGTCCAATAGGACGATATAGGTAGTCATTTAGTGGACAAAAAACTTAATGCGGTAGACGAAATTGAGAGAAAAAAAATTGAATTTAACAATAACATAATTCACGTTATGCTACACAACAAAAATTATTAATTGCCATCTAAAACACGTAAAAAAATTAGGTTATTTATCCCAAGATAGTATGAAATTAAGTGAAAAAAAGCTAAATTAATAGATTCAACATAGAGATTAAAAAGCTGGGACCAAGTAAATAAATAAGTAAGGAAAACAGTAAAAGTAAGAACGAACAAAATATTGCATTAAAGATAAATTATCTAAAATCATAAAATTTTAAATTAAGTCAATTCTAAAGGAGCAAAAATTATTCTTTTATTGGTGAAATATTACGCTGTCAGTACATGAATGCAAAACATAGCACAAAATGTAAATTTGACGAGATAATTTAGCATTTTTGTGCCAGACACTATTAGTTAAATTCATTAGGATGAAACACATTAGAATTCAACACCAATGAATTGAACAAAAAAATGAACAAATTTTTTTAACTGCAAAAACTACTTTTTGGTACTATTTAGTTAATTCCAAACATAATTTAAGGCAACAAATTAGTCGCCCATGCGTATGATCCCTGCGGCAGTATTTTTCGGGCCTTCTGCGACAAAACTATCTAGCACTGTTACCTTTCTGTAAGATATTTTCAATAATAACAAATATGTATGTCACTAGTTTAAGGTAACAAAAACACTGTGTTCACAAAAACCAATTTTTTTTTTTTAAATTGGATATGTAGTATTTTTTTGATTCTAAATATTATGGGGGATATTCTCACTTTTTGTTGGGGGGGAGGCACTAATTATTTCCTTTATCGCATTTAGCAAATCACCATGACATTAAATAATTACATATCATGAAATCTGCGGCAGTAATCACAAAAAAAAAGCAGATCAACAATGAAACCACGTGAATCAGTCTCTTCAGAAAGGGGATATTCAAATGCATGCTTTGTTTCAAGATTTGATTGTTGAAATAAATTATATTGTATAAATGACAGGTTTTAAAAACTATGTGGAAATCAAAAGCAATAATTGCCAAAAATACAATCAAAATGGATTTACGGTATCCGCATAAATTGAGAGCTGCAAAAAGTGATTATCTAAATGCGCATTTCAAATTTTACATGTAAATTTCAGCAGAAAAGCAAACCAAAATTTTTTACTACCCAAAAGGAAAAGCTTTCTGCAAGAACTCTTGTAAAAGTCTACTACAATGTAGCCATGTCGCAATTCTGTAATGGGGGGTGTTATTTCAGCGACATTTGTAGACAAATGTGGCGACAAATGTCATTGTACAGGCGTGAACCCTACTCATTTGAGTTGTTCCCAAACTTCCAAGGAGAAATAAGTTAAAACTGAGTTAACACAATTGTTAATTACCATTTGCACTTCCAGTTACCCTGAGGAACTTCTTGTAAAGGGGGATCTAAGCAATAAATATGAAAACTAATGTCACATTCATCACACAGCAAAAGGCGGCCTTCATCGTGAGGTTGGCCACATCCTTCACAAACAGTGCAGTCCAAACAACGCCAACCCTTTTTCAACACAACCAAAGTCACCTGAAATGTTAAAGTTATTAATGCAATTTCGATACTTTTAGGTAAAATAATGCAATTAGTGCAGAAAAAGTTCACAAGATGCTAAAAAATAGTAATGTGCCTGCCACACATTAAATTCACATTTATAGACTATTCGAAAGTAATGGATAAGTTATTGAAGTTAAATGAAAACTATTAAAATAAATTAATTACCACATTTATACTGTAAAGTTGTTTGAAAATAAATCTTTGAATACTTGTTAAGTGTAGGCACGTTAGCTTATAAAATCATCCACAATATAAAATCAAATGTGATTCAGACAAATGTGATTTACGTGGGCAAGGAGGTGGATACTGTACAATCAAAATTTTTAAAAAAAATCTAGACAGAACATTTAAAAAATGTGTTTCAAAAAATTTCTACACTAATAGGAAATATACATAAGTAATAAAGATAAAAGATAAATAAGAGAAAGAATTATATAAAAAAAAACAATATTATCATACCTTTATACTAGCACAGTAGGAGTGATAACATTGGCCACACTGAGCACATGCAACCAATTTGCCTTCTTCCCCTTTGCCGAAGCTACCGCACATTACACATAAATCCTGAAAATGATGCATAAAAGGTGAGATTAAAAAAATAACCAAAGAAATCAGTAAAGAAACAAAAGTAATTGGGCAAACTAATTTGTGATTTTAATTAATAAAACCAAGCAATATTAACAATATTAATTTGTTTTAAAAAAAAATATATTTTTAAAAAATCAAATTCTTTAATAAAAAAAAACTATTTACAGAAAAATAAGTTTATGTAATTAAAAAATTCTTTATATGTTGGTGAATAATTTCTTAACTTAAAAATTCCATTTTGAATGCAATTAAAGCCTAGCTTTATTTATTTTTTAAATTTCAACTTGTTTTGCAAATTGATTGATTAACTAAAAAATTAAACCATGCATTTATTTGCTCCGTACAGTAAGGTTAAAAAAAATAGGACATTTTAATGAGACAGAATTAACTTTTCAGAAGATTTGTTGCGACTTATCTATTATTGAAAATTAAATATTAATGTTTCTAAACATTTAAATCACTAACTGATTTACTAATTTCAAAATATTTTTAAAAATTAAATGGCTGATTAGTTTAGTAAATATCAAGAGTTGATTTTTAAACAACTTTGAATAAACTATTTTAATGTTTAGTATCCATTGAAGGGATCGTTAAGAGACAAAGTCACATAAATGTTTTTGAAAAACTATTTATTTTGAAAAAACTATTAAGATTGTGCAAAAAGCAAACATTTTGCAAAAACTATTAAAAAAAAAAAAACAAGAAAATTGAGAAAAAGAAAAGGGAATGACAGAAGGAAAATAATTAACATTAATTCATTAGTAATTTTATGATTTTTAGTTTGAAATAAACAAAATTACTACTATAAAATGGCAACGCAAAATAAATAATAATAATAAGATACAGTACAGAACCCATTATCCGGAAATCAGAAAACCGAAAAACCAAAAAACCGGAATGAAATTCGCTAAATTTTCCAGCCATTTTAAAAAAAAAAAAAATTTTCCTCATAAGATTTTAAGATTTTTCTTTCCTTTTTGAAAGATGTTTACCTAACCATCATTTTGGAAATAATCATTAGTGTATTACTTCATCGTTTTTTCTTCTTTTTAGGATTATTTCCAATTATAATTTTTTTTTTTTTAGTTGGGTTTAACAATAAAAAAACGGCTTTTTGTAGCGATTCAGAAAACCGGAAAAATCAGTTATCCGGAATAGCGATGTTTCCAATCGTTCCGGATAATCGGTTCCCTACTGTATAACCAAAGCTATAGTTGCTTTATTATTACTAATTTATGGAACATATCGAAATAAACATTTTGCAAAATATTATACACAGTTGCTTATATTATTTTGTTCCATGAAAAGTACAAAAGGCAATGTTAAGATACCTGGCACAGAACAAATTCATCTGTGGCAGCAGCGATAACCATTCTGTTATCCTCGGTTGGATCGTCATCATCAATTTTATACTCTTTCTGTGAAAACAATTGTGACTGCAAAAGAAGAAAAAAGACACACAGAGTGATTAATCTTCCAAAAAGCTGTAATTGTATTATAAAATGCAAACATTTACTGAAAATTATCATAAAACTCAAGGTAAACTGTAAAAATAACACCACTCTTTCTATTTCTGTGCACAAAGATGCATCAAAAAGTATAAGTGAATTTTTAATAGACCGTTATTTAAAAATCAAAGTTCTGTTAAAATGTATTAATAATGCTCTATCTTATTCAAAAACAATATAAATTAAAGTCACCAATATTTTTAAACTAAAATGGTTAAAAATATTATATTATTATTATAAGCTAATCGTGAAATCATAATTGTTTTTGTTCAGTTCAGCACCCTTGTAAATTTGTAAAAGTGAAGACCCAATTCGTCAGTTAAATATCAAATGAAGAAAAAAATTATTTACACCAGGAAACATAGAAAAAATAATAAATAAAATAAAAATAAATAAAATATAAATCTATTTTTCCAAATGACTCTTGATAAAACAAGACTCTCTGCATTGTTTAAGAACACAAATCATATATTTAATATGTTTTAAAAGTACTTGTGTTTAAATGGACATAATTAAAATAAGTTTATTAAACAGCAAATAATTTTACACATAGCTAATGAAAAGACATAATCTTTAAGTTTCCTATCACTCTTTTTTTACATTTAGTTTAATCATTTATATATTTAGTCCAATATTTTTAGTATTTTTAATCAAATAACATTTGACGAACAATATCCAAACTCACTATTTCCCGGTAATAATATAATATAGCTGAACCATCATCTTTAAATATCCCATAGATTGCAATTTGAGAGGTCTGGGTTTTTTAAGAGACAAAAATAAGAAATAAAATTCCCTGGTTTTTGGTCAGGAAAAATACAAAGGTCCCTGCATTTTCTCTGTTATTTTAGCTGATTTTTGAATTCCCTGTATTTTCCATGTTTTCCCTTTTCTCTCCCTGTGGAGTGACAAACCTATGGTAGCAAAAATTAATTTTAATAATCTAATTCATTAAAATATTAATACATTACTTTAGTGATCAATAGAAATCAAATTTTTTGAAATGAGTGATATACTGTAATAGTTGGACTGTACCTAACAGGGGCTAAAAACCATCGTAGCTAAAAATTTAAACTGAAGCCAGCATGACGGTTTGGCCTATGCAATAATAATTAAAAATTTCAGCAATGTTTTTTTGCAGATATGGGAGTGTACAATGGTGTGGCCTTTCTACCAGAATTAACTGTAATATGATTACCATGGGGAAAAGAACTTCTTGTCCTTGCAGCGATTTTAATCTTGGCTTGGGAGGTTTCTTTTGCCTTAGTTCTGAACTGGTTCTTCTACTTGGAATTTTATTACTTGCAACCTTTAAACAGAACAAGAAATCATAAGATGATTAAAAATTACATCAGATAACTAAATTAAAATTTGAAAGAATTTTGTCGATTTCTCTTTAGTAAGAAAAAATATAAATTTAGAAAAATAAGAAATTTGGCAAAAATAGTTGAGAAGACATTTATTTCCAAGAGAAATTGATGCTTTGTTGATAATAATCATAAAACTTTAGCACGAAAGATAATTTAATAAAAATTTTACTTTAGTAACTAAGATGATTAAAAACTACATGAAACAACTAGTAACATACATATAAATAGGATGATTAAAAACTACATATAACTAATAACATACATATAAATAAGATTATTAAAAACTACATATAACAACTAATAACATACATATAAATAGGATGATTAAAAACTACACCAGCTAACTAAAATAAACTGTGAAAGAGTTTTATCTATTTCTCATAAGTAAAAAAATATATAAATTTATAAAAGTAAGAGTTTCGGTAAAAACAGTTGAGAGAACATCATTTATTTCAAGAGAAATTAATGCTTTGTTGTCAATAATCATATAGCTTAAGCTCAAAAGATAATTTAATAAAAATTATAATTAAGTAACTAAGATGATTAAAAACTACATATAACTACTACTAAAAACTACTAATTAAGTAAATATGATTAAAAATTACATCAGCTAATTAAAATAAAATGTGAAAGAATTTTGTTTACAGTGACCTCTCACTTATGCACCACCTCTTTTATGCACCTTTTTCACTTATACGACGATTTTTATAGGTCCCAATACATTAAATAGGAAAAAAATGATAAACATCCTTTGTTTATGCGTCGCTCTAAAAGTCAATTTTTCAATTATGCGTCGAAATTTTAGGCTAACATTTTAATTTTTTAATCCCTTAAATATTTTTTCCTTTTTAAAAAAAATGTTTTAAATTAAAAATGAAGCAAATGAGCAATACTTGTTACAGATGAAAAGAAATATATGTTGTTAGATCCTATTGAATTTGCTTCCCCCTGTGACCTTTTCATTTTTGCTGTTTCGGGAAAGACATTCTTTCTAGAATTTCGAATAGGGTGTCTTATCTGTAACACCAACAACAATGAAAGCTTATTCATCTTTTAGAAAATGACCATTCTTCTTGTCCAGAGGTTAGTTTTACTCCCATGCTGTTTTCTAGAGAAAAAAAAAGACACCTGGAATACGAAAGATGAAAAAGACCGCGATCATTTACTTGCAGTCAGATGGACATTATAAGTTATAAGTAAATAAAAGGAGGAGGTGTGTTTAGTGACATTAGAAATCGAACAGTTATTGTGCAGCATATTACGACGTCAAGTACTTTTCTTAGAAATTTATCATGTGATGTCTCACCCCCTCCCATAAAACTCAAATTTTTTTGTGAAGAAGTGTTCATTTATATCTAACTAAAACTTGTGGACGATGAGAACATGGTGGATAATACAGACGAGGATGATAAAGTTCCTCCAAATCACACAACAGTATTGGAAGCTTTAGACACTATTCGTGATTATTTACAATTTAATTTTGTTTCTGAAACTCCCCTTTATCCTATTTATATGAACTGGAGGAAACTATTTTTGAAATACGTAGACAAAAACAAATACAAACATGTATTAAGATTATTTTGTAAGGAAATAAATTGTCTTAAGGTATGTAAAATTTTTTCTTTGTATAATTATAGTACTAAATACCAAAAAAAGTATAAATATTAACATTTAATCTTTAGNGAAATTAATGCTTTGTTGTCAATAATCATATAGCTTAAGCTCAAAAGATAATTTAATAAAAATTATAATTAAGTAACTAAGATGATTAAAAACTACATATCACTACTACTAAAAACTACTAATTAAGTAAATAAGATGATTAAAAATTACATCAGCTAATTAAAATAAAATGTGAAAGAATTTTTCTTATTTCTCTTTGATAAGAAAATTATAAATTTATAAAAATAAAGAGTTTTGGCCAAAATAATTGAGAGGACATCATTTATTTCAAGAGAAATCAATGATTTGTTGTCAATAGTCATGAAACTTTAGCTCAAAATATAATTCAATAAAAATTATGAAGTTACTGAAAAAAAATTAGGTTTCTTACAGTATCATTGACACAATCGGATTCTTCGGATGACTGAGACTCTTCGTTTCCAGATAGAAAAGAATCTCTAGAACTGCCTTGAAAAGAATCTTCAAAAGAAAAAAAAAAATCTTTAAATTTAAGGAACAAAGAAAACTTTAATAAAACTAAAAGAGAACAAATACAAAATATTGCTAAAAGAAAACGATACACAGTTCCCTATTGCCTGGCAATTTTAAGCAATCAATTTAATTTTCCTGTCCAATTAATTTTAATAATAATAATCATTCTTTTTTTTTTTTCAATTCTATAGTCCTTAGTATACTTTAGCTTTCTCCACAATAAAGTTCCGTGTCACTCTGTGTTCAGACACAGCAATTATTTATCAATATACTTTAACAGGGGTCTGTCTAGGTTTTTCTGAGAGGTACCTATTTTGTGAAAATTTAGACATAATTAGTGAAAAATTAAAAATTATATTAAAATATCAACACAAAAATATGGATTTATCGTTTCTTAAGGGATACAAAAATAAAATTTTAAGAGAAAGTATTTGGTGAAACTACCGTTTTTCCTAAAATTGAATTTGTGAAACTACCGCTTTTCCTAAAGTTGAATTTGTGAAGGTACCGCTAAACGTTAGTAAATTCGGCCTGGATAGACCCCTGTTTAACAGCAAAATAACTTGGGCCCTCATTGGTCCAATATTCATTAATCTTAGCTCAATAAAGGTTCAAAGGGCAGTTTTTTTCTAGATATTAGCCTTATATAGAATTGACCAATTCATCCTATATTTTACAGCCACTTTNAACAAATAATAATTAGCAAAAAAACTAGTTACCAAGAAATCATAAAAAAATAACAGTTATTGTTAAAAAAAAGGTAATAGTTAATAACTATAGAAAAAAGGCTAACAATTAATAACTAGCAAAAAAATAACTGTTACTAACTAATAAAAAATTGGTCGAAAGAAATAATTAATCCCTTAATAAATGTGCTTTTGTTGTACTTATTATTTTATTTCACATTCAAAATTATTTTTTTTATTGTGTGCCGTCAAATTTCGAAATCGTTAAAAGTGTGCCGCACCAAAAAAAAGGTTGAGAATCACTGATCTAGATAACCCAATATTGGTCCCCTAGGTACATGTTCTTATAGGATCCATCCTCATTTTGATGCCAATTAGGGTCATGGTAATATTTTTGCTAGGGTTATAATGTTAACTGTGAATTAATTTAAAGCAAGCAATTGCTAAAAAAAGTTTTTGTTTTGCATTTTGTGAAAGAAATAATTGCAACAGATGTAAAAATTAATAACTGTGAATCATATTGCCTACTTCTTTCAGTTTTCATAATAGTTATTTCGCAGGTTTATTGCAAAATTCTGCTTTGACTTGGGAGAGAAAAAAAAACTCATTATTTAAATACAATTCCTTCGCCCTATTTTATTTCATAAAAAATAAGATTCCTGACAATTTCAGATTTTACTGGTTACTCCTGAATTTAGAAATTTCGTATAAATAACACATTAACATATTTAGAAGAAAAAAAACATATTACAGCTGTTAAAACAAAATTATTTGAAGAAAAAATATTAGTTACAGATAACAATTAAAATAAATTTTATATAATTATGACTTTTTTTTTCATTGCCATCCACTTCAAACAACACAAAATATTTATAATAACTGGAACAAACACTAAAACAATTTTGATTATTAGAATGTAGTAAGCAAGTACTCTTATCATTAAAGTTTTACCAACGAGAATTCAGCTGAACAAAATCCTTACTAAGTCAACTTACTCCTCCATAAAATCATCTTATGATTATTATTGTCTCATCATTTATTAAAATTACAAATAATGAATGCAATAATTACATAAAAACTATTAATTTTATACTCTCTCATTTGTAAACAATTTTTTAAAAAAAAAATTTGATAATAAATACAGGCAATAAAATGAAAATAAAAAAGAATTAAGTCAGATATTAAGAAATACTAAATTTAAGTCAACAAATACACGAAAAATAATATTTACTTACCTTTTATATGATGCTCTACATATGTGTCATCAGTAATTTGATTCTAAAATAAAAATAATAATAGATTTAAATTATTGTATAGCAATAAAGTAATCATAATAGTATTTTATTCTAAAATATGTCATAACTTATGAAGCAAGATTAAATAAAAATAAATTTCAGTCAAAAAAAGAATTTAAATATATTATATAGCACAATATGTCATAAACGGAGATTATAGTTATCAAAATACAATCATTATTCCCTTATTCTCCATTATTACACATGCCATTTTGTAGATTAAACGAGAAAAATTTGTTTTGTAAAAACTTAAGAATTCAACATTTCTCAAAGAAAAATTAAATAGTCTATGTTAATGATTGCATTTTCAAATCAAAACAAGAAAAAAACCATTATGCCATAAAATGGAGAAATATATATCTAAAGCTGCTGCCGAGAGGAAGGATAAAAAGAGGTCTTGTCTCAGGCAGGGAAAGTGGGTACAAAATTTATTTAATAATCGTAAGAAAGAGAACAATCACCAAATGTAATACAAAATTGTTGTGCTCTTCAATAAAATAGGGAAAATCTTGCCAAGTAAATCTGTAAAATGTTTTGTTTTAGAGGATAAGGGATATCTTAATAATTATAATTGGTCTATTGAATAGGTCGAGGGAAAAAGTCTTTCTCATGAGTTAGTAACGGCAAAAACTTTAAAATGCTAATTATTGCATAACTTGCAGCCAAAAGTAGATTAAAAGACAGGATGTGAATATTAAAGTGTGTGAAGAAGAGTTTTATTTAGAATAATAAATTAAGAAAGAAATTTAGATAAAGAAATAACATAAAAAGATTAATTGAAGCTTTTTATGCTACATATAAATAAGATTTTATAAATGATGCCATATGTCTAAGGTCAAAAAAAAAAATTTTTTTTTGAAAATATATAAAGTTTAATGAAAAAGATAGTAAAGAAAAGAGAAAAAGCCTTGTGTAAAATGCATTTTGGGAAACAGCAATATTCAGATTAACTACAGCAAAACTGATGCAATATTCAGATTAACTACAGCAAAACTGACAAAAAATTCAGATTTAACATACCCCAGAAGTCATACATATTGGGCATACATAATCCATAGGATTTATTCCAATTCTTCTATCACATTCATCATGAATATACCTAAAATAATACAACAAAAAAAGCTGAGCAAACAAATATTTATTTTAAACAAATTAATCTTTAATGAATACAAAATAATATCACCATATTGCATACATTTATTCTTCAAAACAGAAGGGAAAAGTTAAAACAATTTAAAACAGATGATAATTTGAGAAAAAACTACACTACAATGCAAATAGTATAACTAAAATTGAACAGCCTAAAATACTTTAATCCACACATCATTTATATAAATAAAAAAAAAAGCTACACAAACTTTGTAACTTGTACTACATAATTAATATTTTTTGTTATCATAAATACTATTTACATAGTAAAAAGATTCTAAAATATATATTAATATTTTCATTTTTGTTTCAATATATAAACTCATATTTTTGAAATAATAAATTACTAAAAAGGAAATAAAAGAAATTATAGACCTACTTCTGACAAATAGTACAGTGCTTCATAGCTTTTCGCTGACTAAATTGCCTATAGGCTTTTTTACAAAGTGGGCATGCAATTCCCTTGTTACGCTGCTGATAGCAACTATCACACACTGTGAAATTCATATGCCATCTTGAGCTTGGACCATTCCCTGGGGTACGCGCACCACAGTCACCACATTTCCTACAAGCCTGCAAAAATATAAAAACAGTAAATAGTCAATTTTTTCGACTAATAACATATTTCCTCTCCTATGTACTGCTCTTAGATATAATGGCATTTTTACAAATTGGGGCATTATATAAATTTTTAACTAAAAATAAATAAAAAATTACATATGAATGCATATTTATTTAAGGGTGTAAATTTTCTTTTAATAACTAAAAAGAACGAAGAGTTAAATCAAAAAACTAGCATTGAGATTGAAATTTGATATTTAAGATTACATATTGTATAATTAGAACTTTAATAACTGCCCTTAGATTTTATGGTGAGCTGTTGCATTTTTAAAAATTAGGACATTGTATAAATTTATAAATAAAAATAAAATTACATATGAAGGCATATTTATTTAAGGGTGTAAATTTTCCTTTAATAACTAAAAAGAACAAAGAGTTAAATCAAAAAACTAGCATTGAGTTTGAAATTTTATATTTAAGATTACATACTGTATAATTAGAACTTTTAATAACTGTCCTTAGATTTTATGGTGAGCTGTTGCATTTTTAAAAATTAGGACATAGTATAAATTTTTAAGTAAAAATAGAAAATTACATATGAATGCATATTCATTTAAGAGTGTAAATTTTCTTTTAATAAATAAATAGAACAAAGAGTTAAAACCAAAAGCAAGAATCGAGTTGAAATTTAATATTTAAGATTATATACTGTATAATTAGAACTTTTAATAACTGTCCTCAGATTTTATGGTGAGCTGCGCATTTTTCAAAATTAGTGTATTATATAAATTTTTAACTAAAAACAAAAAGAAAATTACGTATGAATGCTGTGAAATTTTTATTTGAGGGAGTAAATTTTCTTTAAATAAATAAAAAGAACAAAAAGTTAAACCGAAAAGCTAGATTTGCATTGAAATTTAATATTTAAGATTACACATTGTATAATAGATTACACATTGTATAATTAGATGGTTCTTCTTTTTCTAAGGATTAGTATTAAGACAACATAATTTAATTTTTCATCAATGGGTGCCTCTTTATGAAGTTTTTTCCCTTTACAGCATCCTGTTTTTACTTTATTTTATTTATTTGATTCCAGAATAAACCTTACATATACCACAAAATTATAAGCATAAGGCCCTGTGACCTTCATACAGCCTCAAAGTTATTTGATTTTCTTTCTTTTTGTGACAGCTGCTCTTTTTTTTTTTAGAAAACAAAATTTAAAACTCTCTTTTAAATTATGTAATAAAAAAAATTAGGAAGAAAAAAGATACCTACATAACATTTCCAGCCACTCTTTGGAACCGAAGACAAAGCAGGTTTCAGACAAAAAACATGAAAACCTTTATCACACGCACTGCAGATGAGCATTTTGTTATTCATATCCTCAGAACGTCTAAAATATTTAAATACCAATATTACACTTAAATCACTTATTGAAAACATAAAAACAAACTATAAGCATTAACATCAATATATACATATTGTTCCCCTTCAATAAGCCAAAATTCAAAACCATAAACTTTTCTGTATCACAATATAATGCATATATATATATATATATTGTAAGCTGATAATCTGATGACAAAAATATTTTAAATCATTCTTGAAAGATTCTGGTACATGTAAGTTCATTTGAACTCACTTTATAGATTTTGGTTTGTGATTTGATTCATTTTTTTTATTTTTTTTTTTATTTTACTTGCGTAATATGTTTGCTTTCGTATATATTTTTGACTTAATTTGTTCTTTTTTCGTTTCAATTTTTTTGAGTGCTCCTAACATTAACGTATTGATAAATTTTGATTTGGCTATATTGATACAATATTAGAAAGCACTCCTTTTTGTGGACTTAATCGTTTGAGCTGATGCAGAGATTAAATCTTTACATTATTTTGTTTTCTGGCTTTTTAATAATTTCTTTTAAAAAATAAAAAAAAAATATTTAAAGATTTTTAAAAATATTTAATTATAATAGTTTTTTTTCTTCTCTTTTCCACGTTTTCCCAATATTTTTTAACTTCATTCATTTATTCATGCATGCATGCATGCATGCATGAATGCATTCATACATATTGTTGCATTATACATACATGCATTATACATTCATATACATTCATACACATTGCATTATACATTCATACATATTGTTGCATTATGCATGCATACATCCATACATACATACATATGAAGAGCTTAAATACCACAGTATACTACATAAGACTTTGAAATCATAACAATTTTCATAAAAAATATTAATCAAATACATAACAAAGCTTTATGAAACAAGGTCAAATTTATTTTAAAGCAATTTCAAACATAATTTTGATTTTTTTTTTACATGAAGCAAAAGGAAAATTTGCTTACAATATATATTTGAAACAATTTTCCATCAACTCACTAATTTTAAAAAATTGTTAATCTTAAAAGTTTTTATTTGCTATTTTTATAGTATTAATAGAAAAAAAATGAATTTTTAATTGAATCTTTCCTTGAACAATATATTTTCTTAGATTGTATATACAGTCGGACCTCTATTTAACGAAGTAGCTAAATCCCGATAATAAGTTTGTTATTTGGAAAATTCGTTAAATAGAAAATCATCTTTTGAAATACCTAAACAACACAAACAGGTTTTAAATTCATAAGCACTAGACCTAATTAAAATAGCAATTGATAAACCTTTATCTTGTAAACTAGTATTTACTATTTATTTTATAAATCTTAACCAGAAAAGAAAACTTCATGGAAAGCAAGAATAGAGCGAAACATTATCCAGTGTTACACTATCATGCTACAAACATTTTCAACTAAAAAAAAACTACATTTATGTATAAAATTTTAGCCACATTTATTATTAAAGTAATTTTAGACATACATTACCACATGCATTCGTAAGTTTAATTGCTACTGATAAAATCCGTTCATTTTGTATAAGTTTTTCGTTCAAAATGCAAACAAAAAGGGAAAGGGACTTTCTCTAAAAGTGGCTTTGAAAATTAATTCAAGGTCATTTATCCCATAAAATGCATTAATAAGTTTGAATTGTTCAAAAATATTTTAGGAAAAGTGGATCTCAAAAAAAAATTTCGTTAAATAGAAAATTCACTTCACTATTCGGAAGTTATTTTACAAATAAATTTTTAAAATTTTCTCGGTCCCTCGAAAAAATCGCAAAACAGAGAAATTCGCAAAATGGAAGTTTGTTAAATAGAAGTCCAACTGTATTTTAGTCTCTGAAGTGCTTAAAAATGTTCAACCATAACTAAAGAAGTAAAAATGTGAAAAAAAATGTGAATTCCTAAATGAGTACTTTACTTTATAAAAATAAAAATTTTTTCTTTGTAAACAAGGAAATTTTAATACAATTTGACTTCTCTTTTTTCATTCAGTGAAAGGAAAATTTACCTTCAACATATAATTAAAGCAATTAAATTTTTATTTTTAAATGAATTATAAGAACAGAATTAAAAAGAAATCTATTATTTCATAAAGCAGAATTACTACTAAAATGCCTGGCATAAAATACTTGCCTACAATTCTGACACACTTTGCAGTCTAGGCACTGCCATCCAGCTCTTACATCATGAGATGGGCTTATAGATGGATCCATGCAGTTTCCATGGTAATAACTGCCGCAAGATGTACATAAAATTAATTGCGACAAATCCCCACTTTCATGACAAACCATACAAATGACACCTATAAAAATGGAAAGTTAAAAACAATCTTTGACTAACAAAGAAAACAAAACATTTGGATATAAACAGATTTCTATACCAGTTGACATTAAATTTTAAAAATATATGCAGTCAAGCCCCACTACAGTGAGCCGAAATTTCGGTCACTATAACCGGGAGTTCACTATATCCGTAATGCAAACAATTTTAACTCATTTTTGCAAACCCTTTTATTACACATTATTTAAATAAATGACCCATAAAAAGAAATACAAAAATGATTAAAAAACAATATGTAGTAACAAAAAAATGTGTTAACTTTTATTTTTATTACTCTTCATCCTGCGTACAAAAATTTAGGGACGGCCTTTATTTAGGGATGGAAAACTGAGACTTTCTCTTTTTGAGTTTAATTAATTCTAATAGGTTATAAAATACACCGAAGATTTATTTAAACTATTAGTGAATTTATAATTTTTCTCGTTTTCCTGAGAAACAGGAAAACTACTCAATAATTACAAAGGGGTAAGTGACAGCAAAAATATATATTATAACATGAGATATACAGGACAGAAGGCTACTACAGCTCAACTACTCTCTTGTTAAAAGATGTCTCTTTTTAACAAGATCTTTTTACAGTTACGGTTACAATTTAATTAACAATAAACGCTGCCATCTATCTGTGGTTCAACAAGTATTTCCACAGAGACAGAAGAAGCAAACAAGATAAAATGCTTATGACTACATTTCACTCAATAGATGGTTTTAAAAGTCGGTATATGTATTTTATGTAGAAATTTCAATATTACCAAAAAATGAAGGGGAAAAATCAGTCGAAGACAGAAAAAAGTTTATAATATCCAATTTCCTCTCTTTTTTTGGTTCACTATATCCGCAAAAAATAATATTATGTGTATAGCAAAGCACGGGAGCTAACATTTCGTTCACTATATCCGGTAGTTCACTATAAGCTGCCAACATGGATAGGAAAAAATCCAGTAGATTTCATGAAATAATAGAAATTTCAAGATAATTGTTGCTTAATGTACTAAATTTTTTACACATAGGGAATTTTAGAGATTTTTATAGACATTAAAAAAAAAAAACTGCAACATTTTCCAGTTATGATAGACATTTAATATACTTGATATGTTATGCATAATGTTTACTCATAATTTCGAATATTAATGGGCATTTAATTCATCAAAGATAGTTGAAAGATTTTTTTAAATTAATTTAAAAAGACAGTTCTGAATCAAAATAACATTTTACAACAAAAAAAGTTTTGAACTGATTTCTATAAATGAGGTTCGCTTCATTATGTATCAGTAATACTTATTTAAATATTCAAGCAATAATTTGCATAAAAATTCTATTTCAATAGGGATTTTTTTTAAGGAACTCACTCAATTTTAGGAAATTTTCTAAAATGCTCAAAAACCAGGAGAATTATAATTAAACTGGTAGACCAGGAGAAACTGGCAAAATTCAGTAGCTATGTGAATTAATTGAAGGAAATCTTATTTCAAACTCTTTCATGCTTAACTACAATTTAAGTTAAACATTTTTATTTTATTTTTAAATATTTAACACTAGAAAATAAATTTTTGAACTATTTATTTAATAGTTTTATTCATCATTAATATGAAATTTAAAAAAAAAGTACAACTATTTTTCTGCCATTGAAGCTTGAAATAAAATTAGCGGATAAAGTTGTGGCATCTATTAAAGAAGATGATTACACTATAATAGAAAATAAATTTACGATGTATGTTGTTTAATATTTCTTACCAAAGGAAAAGGCATGCTCTCGGTGGACAGAGCAGATGATTTTGAAACAATTGGCATTCTATAATAAGAATATAGAAACATTATGAACAAAAATATAAACAGGTTTGCAAAACAAAATTTACATTTCTACAACATAAAACTAATGTGAAGAGAATAATTACTTAGTTTTATAAAAGTTTCTGTCCACTCATGTAGAAAGAAATACTGTAAACTATTTTATGATTAATAAGGAATTTAAAAATAAATATTTCAGTGCTGATTTTTTCTTTTTTGTAAAATTTTATATTTGGCTACATATTTTATGCGTATTAGTAATTTGAATTTTATTTAAACTATGTTAATGGAATCAGCCCCAGATTCTCAAAATATCGAAAAAATGAAAACAAAATAACAACAATCTTATTCATAAAAAAAAAATGGAAAATTACTCAAAGTTAAACGATCTAGAATTAAAGAATTCATAAGTATCAGAATATTTTATTTTTGTTTATTATTCCAATTGCAACTGCAATTTGAAATTATGAGCAAATATGTTTTGTATTCTGTCATTTAAAACTACAGAGTTTAAAATCATGTAAAAAATTGTGTATCCCATATTTCAAAATTTGTTTGACTCAAACAATATAATTTTTTTAAAAATATGAAAATTAAATTAGTAGAAATTATTTTAACACAGAATCTATCTTTGAATAAGTTAATTTGTTTATTATTCCAATTGCAACTGCAATTGATCAATTTAATTTAGTGTTCAATCACTCAGAGAGAAAAATAGAAATAATTATATTTTTAAAATTATATTTCTCAAAAATTATTTGACCAATTTTGTTAAAATTTTGTATTTGGTCATTTAAAACTACAGAGTTTAAAGTCATGTAAAAAAGTGTGTATCTCATTAATTTAAAATTTGTTTGACTCTAACAATATAATTAAATAAAAAATATGAAAATAAAATTAGTAGAAATTATTTTAACACAGAATCTATCTTCGAATAAGTTAAATTTGAAATTCTGTGCGAATATTTTTGGATTTACTAAGCAGGATATCTATTTATACAAAATTTGCGAAAAGTGGTAAAAACATTAAGAGGTCAAAACTTTCAGTCACTCTGCTGAATATACTTATTGGACCACATTTTCCAGATTGCAGCTACTTCCACTTAATGGCCAAAAATCCATTTAAAAAAAGTTATGTCAATTCAGCGAAAGTAAGTTTTTATGTTTTTTCTTGTAACACTAATTAATAAACATGTCACCATTACGATTGACAATTAATTGGTGATAATCCAATCATAAGAAAAAAAGTTATTACAGGTGATATCTTTTTGATTTTGTGCACTGAATGAATTTAAAATAGTGCGCATACTCACCTGTAATGCACCAGAAACAATTGCACATGGATAGTGATAAATCTTAGTGCAGTCAGAGAAGCAGCATTTTACTGAAGCACCATAGCGATGACATTTACTACATTTCTGAAATAAAATTTTCAAAGTTTGCACAAAATAAAAAATAATACACATAAATAAAAAAAGAAATAAGAATTCTAATTCAGAACTTCCAGCTTCATTAAAACGAACATGTGACTGAATAAAATATAGGTTCAAGAGCAAATAAATAGGTAGCACTAAGTTTAGAAAATAAATAAATGTGTTACGTACAAATTTAACTATATCTGCCAAGACAGAAAGAAACAATTTTAGCAAATTTTACTAAATAATATACAAATTACTCTTTATTTTGGCAGTAATTCTACGAATTTCCATATGGATTTTAAAAACTAGATATTTCAATGATATTACAATACATTAATTTCGAGTTGCTGCACTAATGAGTCTTTTTTTTATTTTTTTTAATATGCTTGATTCGAGATGATTAAATTGTAAATACACGTAGTGTTACCATTAGGTTTCCTGACAGTTATCAGAATGTATTACTTCATAGTTTTCAAAATCACAATATTTTTAATAGAACGATATTAAAACATGGAACATTTAACTCTGTGGGAAGAGTAGATATCAACAATGTCAACCTTCATCGAAAAAAAGGTACCTCAACATAGAACCACGTAAACGTGTCTTATATACTAAGGAATTGTAATTGTATTTTTGTAGTGGTAGATACACTACATGCCCATTGAACTAACTTAGTTGCAAAATTACTTTCCAACATGGCACTCCATTAGTGCCAGTTTACTTGTAAATTCACATAATTTTATTGATCAATTTTTCTACTGGAATCACTACAGACTTTTTCACTACATTTTAATGTATTTCAATTATAACACGAGCATTTGAGAAATACTTTTTGGCACTCTTGTTTTGCAACTGCTTTATTGTAAATCCAAGCAGTTTCTTAATTGTTTTTTCGGCAGATATTTCTACAGACTTTCACGTGATTTTTCAAAATTGCTTTTTAACCCTTTCGTCCCGAATGGAATATATAACCAAACTAAATTAAACTTTATTCCCTAATGGACAAACAGATAATAATTTTGCATGTTTTTTTATATATCTAGGGTTCTTCAGGCATTCTAGGGTTACTTGGCAACACTCTCATATTCATAATGGCGGATTTTTGTTTTCGAGCACACCAGTCAACCTCGTTTTAAGTTTGCGTATTTTCAGAGTTTTGAGGCAAATACAACTATATTTTTGCCATATTCTGTGTAAAAAAGTTATGTTAGTTTTTATTAATAATTGTACCTATTTAGTATCAGATTTAGAAATTTTGACACATTTTGTTTCATGGGACATATTGTCCCAATCGTATTTACCATTGGGACAATATATCCCAGTCGTACTAACCAGTGGGAGTTCTCCCACTGGTTAGTGATAAAATATCCCATTAGTGATAAAAAATATTATGAGACAAAATTTGAGTTTTTGTTTTGATTATTTAATAACGACAACTCCTGGTTTCTATGATCTCTCGTAAGACAACTTCTGGTATGAATAAATAGCTTTTATGCATTTGTATAATTTTCCTTATTTATTCTTATGCAATACATAGGTATCACAATATTCAAGGGATTGGGACATATTATTCCAGGAGATTTCCGGGAAAGCTTTAAACTCATAGTATACTTACTTTAATATGTCAGCATTAACATAAACTTTTTTTATACTTAAATTTTAATGCAGAAAAAGTCGGGTCGAAACGGTTAATAAGACAGTAATATTACAGCATGCATATTGACACTAATTTCTTTCTTTTTTTCACAAATTAAAAAATTTCTGGATTTCTGAGGCTTCCAGAATAAGCAGTAAATTGATTTTAAGTGATAAGAATAAGCAGTAAAGTGATTTTACTGCAGACTGCAGTAAAATCAATTTCAATCATCAATAAATTTTTTACAATCATCCTATAACATTTGCCAGCTGACTTGAAGTGAAAAATAACCAGAATGTTAGAATAGAAAAATATAATAGAATATCCATAATAATAAACGCAATGATTCAGACAGAAATCTTTAACAGATTTTTCTTTCTTAAATAATACTCAATATAATATGAAAGAATAAACATAATTATTTTTTCCCCTGTTCAAATTGAAATTGTACAATTTGAAACCATCAACTAACCCTTAAATATTCAACAATAATATAGGGTAAATACAACATTAGAATTAAAAGAAAAGAGAGAGATACCTGAAAAGCAGCAGTGACAACTGCTTTATCAACATTAAACAATTTCTTCTCAAATGTCTTTGTTACACCCTCGGACCAAGCTGCACAATTGAAATGAGCATGTAATTCACCTGAAAGGATATCAAAAATTAAAGATGACAAATAATTAAGGACAAATACTTTACATCTAATTTTAATTGCATAGATTTAAAAAAAATTTCGTGTCTACCAAAGAATATGAGGAGTTGAAAGTACAGTACGCAAAATAGCAAAATGGATCATTCTTAATAACTTTTTATCTATTCATCGGATCTTTCTGTTCTAGGACTCAATCTTAACGGTTTGAGGGGGTGACCTCTAGTTTTAATTAGGGCAGACGATATCTTAAGACAAGAAATCAAACACCAAAATGTACTTTTTCTGAAAAAACATAACTTTTTTTCGACGTATTTAGATTTCTGAACCCCAAAATAATGGAAATCTGGGAAATTTGGTCCCAATAGCTTAGTCAGGAGTGTGGTTCAAAGTTTGGACCCCTTATTGCTAATTTTACTTTTGGTGTATTTCTTGAACTTTTAAAGTAAATTGAAAAATTCAACGATAATTGATTGAAAAAAAAATGTTTAACTGTCATTTTGGAATTCTCTATTTCTGCCAAGGTCTTGTTTTTATGAAAATCTTTTCATAATTTTGTAAATCTGAAATTACCTTAGCACTGGATTGTTTCAGTCAGGTTCCTGTTTTGGTGAAGATGTGAATATAATCTCCTGCTTTTGTGAAAAAGTATACAACTTGTGTCTGTTAAGCAGTTGTAGTTTAAAATTATGTATATAAAATATCAAAGACTTTGTTTTTCAAAAAAAATACTTAGTTAAGTGTACATTTTTAAAATGAACTAAACTGTTAACAAACCATTTCTAAAATAAAATATTAATAGAAAGATCAATTAATAAACTAATTTACAATTGCTGTTTTTGAAATAATTTGCTGTTTAATTGCTGTTTCTGAAATAAAATACTATTTGAAGTACTTGTTACCAGGGGTCTGTTTAGAAGAAATTTGGGTTTGTTAACAAACCCTTCACAAAATATCTTTTCATAAAAACAGACCCTTCACAAATTTGTTTATCTTCATTATTGTTTTGTTTATTGAATAAACCCGGAGGAGAAAAAAAGAAAGACGGTTCAGAACGAACTAAGTTTGCCAAGTTTCCTTAAGTTTAAATTCCAAAGAAAATATTTCTACTTTTACAAACATCGTGTCTTCATTCTTATTGATATTAAATGATAATTTTTTGTTGTAAATAAATAATTGATCAATTTATATTTATTCAAAAAATTAATTAATAGAATATTATATAAATAAAAATTAATTTCTGACAATTTTTAAAATAAAATATTATAAATTTAAGAATTGTTTAAGTTTACTTCATGCGCATGGGTGCAAGTTGGAAAAAAGGCCAAGACTGAAAATTTTTTGACTGAAATACCTAACATACGCAATACCCCCTCGACCTATGCAAACTATCTAAGAAAGCTTTACCATAATACATCAAGTTTAAATACTGTACAAAAAATATTTATTCATCTGTCTTTTGATAAAATAACAACAGGACATAAGAAAGTAGACCAATAACGTAGACCTAAAAAATATTTTTAAGGACAGAAAAAAAAATTCCGATTTCCGTCTTTGAGTCAGTCTTGTTTCCGTCCGCGGACATTTTCGAAAGACGGAAATCCATCCTGGGGACGGAAGACTTGCACCCATGTTCATGCGTAACAGATTAAAAGTGATACATTACTAAGCTGTGTTATTTAAAATACGAAAATTGAAATTATTAAAAATGTGAGTGATTTTGTTTCCATTATTCGTCCTAAATAAATATTCTGCGTTGAGCAGTATAGGCAAAATACCAAATATTTGTATGTTGCATCTCTAATTTAGTAGCAGCAATTGTTGAGCAGAATCTTGTATCTATTTGCAATTTAAAAACTTCTTGAAAAGGCTTTCAGCAATTTTAGCAATAACAGGACCCCATTCGCGCAACTTCACAAAATCAGGATCCTGGTTGAAAGAATGTGACTTAACGCTTATTTTATATTCGCAAATTATGAGTAGTTTTTTTTCACAATTTTACAAAAACAGGACCTTTCACAAAATGTCTGGACAGACCCCTGGTTACTACAATAAAATACTTTATGAAATGTTTGCTACTACAATAAAATACTTAATGAAGTGTTTGTTACTACAATAGAATACATTATGAAGTGTTTGTAATTAGAATAAAATATTTTGCAAAAGAATATATTTTTACAATAAGATAATTTATGAAGAGTCTGTAGCTACAAGAAATATTATTTGAAGAGGGGTCTCTTTTTATAATAAAATAATCAATGCACTGTCACATTTTAACAATAAATATTTTGTGAAGAATCCAGAAAAAAAATCTGATGGGAAGAGGCAGTATAAAAGGAACGTATTTACCCTCTACCATAATGAAGCAACTTCAACAGTGTCATAACACAGAATAAAATAGGGAAACAGGTACAAAAATAGAAGAAAATGCAACAATGAGGAAAAAATATTGGATAGTCGTTAAAAGTAGATGTTAGGCTGTGATAATGGGCTGGGGGTTCAGCAATCCTATCTTTAGCGCTGAATACAGACAGGCATTTGGTAAAAAAAATTGATTATTCAGAGTTTAGTAAAACAGTAAGTTAAGTTAACTTATGACATACCATTTGTTTCAAAAATATTTTTAGATTCTGGAACAGATTTAAACCCTGTCACTTCAAGCTCTTGTATAAGGTCACTCATAATTGTTGGCCGGTCTTGCAAATTTTGCAATGATTTTGATCTCTGAATTTTCATCTGTTCCCTGTAAAATAAACATTAATATTTAAAAAATCATTTTAGAATATTACTTTCTATAGAATACATTACTATTTATAGTGAATATTATAATCATCAACAGTGATTCAATACAAGAAAAATTACAATAAGTCTTCAATAATCAGATATTATTGCACAGTTTGAATTTCAATACCAACAGCTGTCAGCTCTAAATTTTTGCTAACTAATTACTAATTTTAACTAATAACTAATTACAAACTTTACTAATTTAAACAAACTAATGTGTAATAAGTAGAATATTTCACAAAAGAGACATTTCATGTTTTTTCTTAATTAATAAAGAAAAATAAAACAAAATAAATTTTTTAGCACTAGTACATTCACGAATAACCATTATAAGTTAAAAAATTATCAGAGCATATAAATATTTAAAAAATTGCATTAAAATACAATAGAAAGTTCTACATGCAGAATTATCAGAACTTAATAAATTTTTAGCACTAGTACATTCACGAATAACCATTATAAGTTAAAAAATTATCAGAGCATATAAATATTTAAAAAACTGCATTAAAATACAATAGAAAGTTCTACATGCAGAATTATCAGAACTTCCGTAATTTTTCCAGATAGATAAATAAAGATAAAAACATACATTTCTCAATAAAAAATAAATAAATAAAGGATAATTATTATTAATTAGTATATTATAACATTTTACTACTAGTTAAATGACACTTAATTAAATACAGTATTTATTACTGTGAAATAAATGTTACAGCTAAAATATGGATAAAAAATATATAAAAGTAAGAAGAACTTTCTCCTCACTAAAAAAAGTCTTTTTTAATCCTTTTTTCCTTCATGTGATAAGAAAATAAGAGCTAACAGCATAAACATTCAGATAAAATAACACTAAAAAACAAGTGGAGTTCCCACTCGATTTCAGAAAAAAAATTACCCGACTTCTCCAGGTATTCAGGTAAATTTCAATGTAAATCGAGACCATATTTTCATTAGAAAACTTTTGATTCTTTTATTTGTAATGCGAAATATAAGATTTTCTGAGTAAAAAATATCATTAAATGAAGAAAAAAACATTTCAGTTTGACTAAAATGAGAAATTTTTTAACAAATAATTGCAATAATAGATGTTAGAATTATTTAACTCAAATCTCAATAACTGATTACTGTTATTGACAATTTTAAGACTGGTTATTTACCAGGTATGTTATAGAAATATTCCAGGTTTTTGTAAAAAACAAAAAGGCAACTTTCCCTGACTTTTGGAGTTAAAATAAAATTTTCTGACAATTCAAGGTTTTCCCTCTTGTCACTGACCCGTGGAAACCCTGAATAAGCTTCAAATTGTAAAAGTAAAATAAAACAATCATATTCAGTGAAAAAAATGGTAAATTTAAACAAGAAATAGAAGAAAAAGAAAAGTTTTTGATCTTATGAAAATCATTAGGCAAATATTATAATTATGTGAACAAAATGCAACTCAAATGAATATCGTGACAATTATTTAAATTATAACAAATCAAACATTTACTTTATAACACTTAATATTTTTAGTCTGTGCTCAAATAGTTTCACCCGAACATATCGTAGTTTACCTTGAGCTTTCAACAGGGTACATAGCTAAACCTCTCAACAAAAAATAAGCACCTTTAAATTAGCTTTTAAGTTATCAAAAAATGTTTTTAAGCACTATATACATTAACAAGATGCAAAATAATTTTAAATGACTTTACATGATCATGATAAAATAACTAGTTCCTGACAAAGAGCTCTTTTCTTGATTATATTAGCCAGCATAAAAAGATCGAGAGATTTTTTGGTTCGATTTCAGAGGGTGAAAAATGAAGCCTGAAATTGAGAATATCTTGCAAAATGCAACAGAGTTGCACATGAGATTGCAAGAATCTCACAGAATCCAGTTCACAAGCGGACTTCCAAGTATTTAACCAAATATGTAACACGATTGACGCTAATATATGTTACATGCTGACGGTATGCTGAAACAGATTGTGGTCGAATGAATTGCAAAAAAGTTGAATATAACAATGCCAAAACCACGCTTTTGCATAATACGCAGCAAAAATCAACATGGTAAAGAAAAAAATCTCATTTTCGAAAAGGAAAATTACGCAGTTTTTAAAATCATCCCATGAAAAAAGCATCTTTAAAGGCATTTAAAACACTAAAACAATAAGCAAACGAAAATGATGTTCTAAGGTGGATTTTACAACAGATCCCCTTTATGTTGCAGATTTTCTTACGGTCAGCGACATCCTGGAGCTTATCTGACATGTGTCAGATAAAGAGGATAAGCAACAACATTTCTACACCTTCAATTAATCTTTGGGTTCAGTGAAAATTATAATAAAGAAAACCTTGGAGTTAAAAGTCCTCAGAAAATCTAGAGTCAAACATTTCAACTATTCAGTTCTAAATAAGAGAAGGAACATTTTAGCTTACCCTGTAGAATCAACTGATTTTTGTTTCCTAAATAAAATTTTCAATTCATTACGAGGAGCATCAGGTACTTCGGGTTTTGCGATAGTCAGAGATTTCTCGTTCATAGCCTGAATGCTGTCAAAGTCTGGTGTAGGTTTGAAGACTGCAAATTTTCCTTGACCCAATACGCTGGACTCTGATAAATTGCAGAACGCACAGAATTTCTTTACTCTGAAATAATTTTTAAAAACAAACACTTTTTTTAGTACAGCATGAAGAAGCAAAATGCAAATAGTACCAAAATAAAACAATGAAAATTTCATATATGAATATCTCAAAGTTCAAAGGACGCTGAACAAATTGAGATAAATTCAGAGCTAAATATGTTCTAAAAAAAGTAGAAAAATACATTCTAAAATAGTACTCTAAAAAGTAAAGGCTGAAATATAAAAACAGCTACTAGTAAATAGTTCTCTCTAAAGTAAAGACATGAAACAAGAATAACTATTAATAATTATGTATCTAATGATAGCTGACTGTAAGTCTAAATACAGCAAAATGACAAAAATAATTATGCATTAAATAGATAAGAATTGGTTTACAATTAATAAGCTTAGTGATTAGAGTAATGGGAAGAATAAATCAAATTGAAATGAAGCAATAAATAGCTTTTTCTTCAATTCATCAAATTGGTCGAATATTATTGAGATTTATAGTAAGAGATATAAAAATTGTGATTTTTCTGACGAAAAAAAAAATTTTATTTCGAAAAATATTCAACCTAACAAGGTGTTGAGGTAAAAAAAAATCTTCGACATCATTAACATTAGGAAGATACATCATGCCAAGGGGAAAACATTTTTTTGACATAAAAAGGTTTTCAAGATACTTTGAGATATCGAGAGTATACTGCACTGTAATACAAAATATTTCATCTTTAGCACATATTTTACTAATAATCCACTGCAGTGATTCTTACATGTACTGATGGCACTGACGCATTTTTTCTGTAAACTATTTTTTATGTACTTAATATTAAAAAAAACTTTAGTGAACAGAGAGGGTAAATTTATAATAACTTTCATCCAGGTATTGGCATTAATCTAGAAATGACTATGCACTTTACCTTATGCTCTTCCTTCTCGGCAGCTAAACCAGGTCTTAAAATTTATGGTACTCCGTTGCCCCGAGACCACATCACTTTTACTCAGACCACCATAAAATAACAAGGTTCATAGCCAGATTTTTTAACAAAAAATAAGCACTTTTTAAGCACTGAAAAATACTTTTTGATCACTTGCCACAAAAAAAAACATAATTAGAATATGTGCAGTAATAAAAAAACTTTTATATCATTTAAAGTTCTTAATTTATCAGCAAAATGCAAAAACATTTTCAAAAACTTTACATAATCATGATAAAATAATTAGTTTTGCAAAAATATCGCAAATCAAGGTAAGCTTTTTTTTGTAATTCATGATGACAATCGACACACCTAAGAAAAATTCTACATTTAAAAAGATAGAAAATTAAGCACTTTTTACAAACCCTGAATTAAAAAAGCACCTTTAAGGGCTTTTAAAATATGTAAATCAAAAATAAACATCTTCAAGCACTTTTTAAAAAAGCTACGAACCCTGAATAATTAACACTGGTTCTCAGGACCAGCAATTAATACAAAGGGGCCGTATGCTGTTTCAGTTTTTTGATTTTCAGTTTCCTTTTTTTGGTATGTGTTTTTGTCACATTAATGTGCTAAGATGTCATTTGATGTTTTAAGATATTACACATTCCCCGTATTGTAATTTTTGATTAAATTCACTTCTTTAACTGTTCGAAACATTAAAACTGACCAAAGAAAATGTATACCAACTAGAAATATCTTTTAGTTATTTGGTCAGTACCAATTTTTTTTTTTTTAATTTCTACCCCTGACTAAACCATGGCAACAGATTTCCTCAATTTCTGCAGGCATTTGAACAACTACTTGTGTAAACCTGCTTTTCAGTATTTATAGTTTGTATTAAGTAAGAACTCCCCTAGCCATTTGTCTGGACTCTAGTCGGTGACTAGGGTAACAAGGTATAACTATTTCCACTAGGGGTGTGGAGTCATTGTTTAGCACAGGTTTTGGCCCGAATTGGCTAGAGAGGGAATATTTTTCTTCGGTATAATGTGTTAGCCATAGAGTGAAGAGAAGTTCCCTCCCTGAAATGCGTTGTTTTTGTTTCTGTGGCGACAGACAGCCTCACATTTTGTGGCAGGGGGAGTTCTTACAGTAGACAAAGTATAAACATTCTTTGATAGGTGCTGTCAATTAAAACAAACAGGCCGAAAGATTGAACCTAGAGTATAGAGTAAGCTCATTTAAATTAAAAAGTTTTTTAAATGAAAATATGTAAGTTTGTAATTCTTAAAAACCGAACAAAATATATAAAATATTGGGTGCCAGGTGCCATGGTGACCAAGATCAGTAGACCCCTTGTAAAGTCATAAAAAATAGATTATTACATCGAAAATTATGCTTACTTCAGCTCATTATCAGGTAAACCATCTGAAGAAATTAACATCTTTTCAGGACCATCACATGCTAAAAAAGACATAGCAATAGGTAAGGTATTTTACATAGCAAATTTATATTTAAACAAAACAGCAGAATTTTAAAACAATTTGAACTGTAAAACACGTAAAGGTGTAAGGAAGTCTTTTAAAAAAATAATAATAAATATGTATATTATTATTATTTTTTTGGTATTTTATTAAATTATTAAACCAATCTTCTTTTCTTTTTTTTCTTCTTTAAGTTAATTATTTAATGGATAAGAAGTATTGAATGTTCAATACTACAACATCTTTAATATATTTTAAAAAATGTAACATATAGATTCTTAAGTTAAATGTTATATATATATATACAGTCAATTCGCTATAACTCGAAGTACGATAACTCGAATATTACTATAACTCGATTTTTTTATGAGGTCCCGACCCTTTTATCTTCAATTTCATGTTAATTATTCTCGATTACTCGAATTTTACTCCCTTTAACTCGATTTTGTTTGGATCTTTTAAAGCAAGAAAAAAAGCCTAGGAGCTGATATCTTGCCCCTTTCTTTGCAACACACACACAATGTCTTTCGCACTCTTCATGGAGAAGCTAAAGCTGTCCCTCTTGAAGTATGTGAACAGTGGTTAAATGAAACGTTACCAAATTTACTTCAAGGATGCAGATAAAATGATATTTTCAATATTGATGAAATGGGCTTATTTTTTACATGTCTTCCAAATAAGACTATGTTAAGGTTGAAAACTGCTCAGGGGGTAAAATGAGCAAGGAACGTTTGACTGTCCTAGTTGGAGGAAATGCGTCTGGGACAGAGAAATTGCCCTTACTTATTATCGGAAAATAGCGATATCCCCGATGTTTCAAGAATGTAAAAACATATCCTTTGGATTACAACTCTAACAAAAAGTTTCGGATGACATCAGTTTTATTTGNTTTATAAAATTGAATTCTGACAACAAAAACAAATTCAAAATACATTGCCAACTGCTTATTAAACTAGGGAGTGGAACCTGTAAAAGTGACCACCAGGGTAAAGTGATCACCTGAGTAAGGTGACCATTTTCAATAAGTTTTATTTAAAGAGTCATTTTTAAAGAGTCTTCATAAAGTGACCACTTCTATATAGTGACCATTTGACTTGGTCCAAAGGGTGGTCAATTTAGACAGGTTCCACTATATTTCATTTTACAAAGCAGCTAGTTTTATAACTGACATCTCAAAAATAAGAAAAAAAGACGGATTCAACATTTAACTTTACAAATATACGAAACCTTAAGAATCAATCACTACATTCATATTTTGCTTTAACTATTTTAATTCAAAATTGATATTTTAATTGCTGATTAAATCTTAAATACTATAATGAAATATGTGGTATAAACTGCTCTTTTAAACAATAAAGATTTGAATAAATATTACATCAATACAAAAAGGGAGAGCCGCGATGTCTCAGGGGATAGTGTTAGCCTTCCACTGAATTGAAACAGGTTCACATCCCAGCGAAGGCGGGTCGATACGAATCCACATCCGGCTAACCGTGGGAGGTTTTCGTGGTCTTCCTCACCATGTAACGATAATGCGAGTTGGTTCCATCAAAAAGTCCTCCATGAAGGCAAATTTCCCCCAATACCTGATTCAGGAGTTCCCTTGTCTTCTAGATAGGGTCCAAAACTGCAAGGCTACGGAGTTGCACATTAGTAGTCGTAAACCCAAAAATTGGGTGAGCTGTTCCACGACGGTTATAAAATATAAAAAGAAAAACTATAAAAAGGGAGCAACAGAGTAATAAGCCACTAGTTTCCAGAGAACTGCACATCTAACTGTCCACACAAATATCGTTCACAAAAATCTTCTGTCAAAAGAATTATTAAAAGATGTGGCATTATGATGTCCTAAGCCGTTCATATTTATTATATAGAAACAAATGTGTGTCCTTTTTATTACCTGCCCTCAATGTATCTATGTTTTCATAAATATCTTGATTACTCTGTGCACCAGGCACTTGTACAGCTGGAAGACTCATTATGTAGGAGGGGAACTTCCTTCCACGAAACCTTGGACGTCCAGGAAAGCTGTTGGAAAAGAATATATTTTCAGAAAACAAATAAATAGTAGTAAGTAAATAAAGTTAATATTGAACATTGTACAAAATAGTGAATTATTAGATCTGGATACGCAGGTGGTTTGCAATATAAGTTTCCTTGTTTAGACCAATTTAGTAAGAAATGGTTAAGGGAAGAGAAAAATGATTTCTAGAAAAAGCAAATTTGAAAATCTTTATTGCTGCACTTTTACAGACTAGGCTGTGTAGGGATCAGGGAACTGGCCTTGAAATCAGAAAGGCTTTGGGCTCGAATCCTGGGTAAAGCATGGATGTTCTTTCATTCTCTGTACTATCTGTCCTTAATGTGGGAGCAACGTTGGCCCAACTAATAGGGTACCCCTGAAAGAGTGGCCAAAAAATCTGCCCTGTAAATGCCTGATTTGACGAAATGTTAAAACTGGTGGGTGTTAGAAATAAAATAATTTAAAAAACAGTCGCACTTTCTCGAGTTATTTCGATTCATTTCAAATACCAGTAATAAATATTGTTTTTGTTCAATTAAAACAATTGTTTGTTTATATTGTTTCTCTTTGCATCATTAAAACTTCTGATAATTCTATGTCTTTTTCAGCACGGTCATCAAAACATTGTAAACATTTTCAAAAAAATTCGCTTCTTTAAAAAATTGTTTTCCAAGGAATTTCTCAACAGGCAAGCTAAGATAACTGTCATCTATTTGTGCAATCCGGAAAAAAGGAAGGAAAAAAAAGCGTGAGAAATGTTTAAGTCAAATTATTTTCTTTTTCACTGATTTTTTTAAGGATGGCAAGTTTCTTCTACAATGGCAAAAACCATATTGTGAAAAATATGTTATTTTACAAAAAGAAATATCACATACTAAATTAATTGTTTTAACATTAGTACAACTGAATATTGTTGTATGCCTAGAAGGTCTGAAAGAGTTAATTTGGAACTTCCCAGATTGTTTGTGAGTAGATCAAGTAGACATCCAAATACTTAAAATATAATCACAATTAATTTAATAACAAATATACATACAGACTCTTTCGTTAAATTTTTTAGTAATGATTGACAAAAATATTTGATTAATCGAGAAACACTGACTTTTCAGTTATACTTATTAGTTTCTTAGATAATTGAGTTTTCTTTTCTCTGTAAGTAATAATAGAAGATTTGTTAAAATACACTTGCTTTTTCAGGTATCTACCGAAATATTTTAGAGGCCACCCTAGTCCCTTGAGCCGTTCTAGGTATAAGGTTCCATACATATATATATTCCTATAAGGCTAAAGCATGAAAGATTAAATAGATGACTTTCACATGTTAGCCTTACAGGACCATTTCGTGAAAGGAATGTAACACACATATATATATTATATTCAGTAGTATAACTGTCTTTGTCTTTCACTTTATGACTCAAGTATACGCCATTCACTATTTGTAAATATTCTGCCCTAAGGCAAATATACAATATAGGATAATAAATTAGATCAAATTATGAAAAATCAGAAATATTAAATACTTTCAATACTTCATTTTTTGAATTACGGAGCAATGAAAAGATAGAAGGGCTAATATGGCTTCAGTCATCAATCTAATGTTAAACAATTTATAATAGCAATTTAGCTGAAATAATATTAGGAATTTCCAAGCTAATTAATATATCATTTCTAAATAAATGAAAACTATAAAGCAAAAAAAAAGAATGAATTTCTCAAAGAAATAAAACTATTTATTTTCTTTCAACATTTTATGTAAAAGGTCATAGAAAATCTCCAAATCATAATTATAGACACTTTTAAAATATAATCAAAATTTTATTAAAACAATCAAACTAACAAAACACATTTTAGAGTAAATCCTTATACTTCATTAGCTATTTATATTGATGAAAAAATTTTCAGTTAATTTGTCTTACATTTTATGGTGCAAAATGTCATCTCTTCTAGGTCTTCCACGCCCTCTCATTCTAAATAAAGAGAAAAAACAATAAGGAACAAAACACTAAAATTAGATTATAACAAAAACAGCCAATGTCAATATTGGAATTTTTTTAGTGAGAACAAACTAAGTCAAATAGGAATTGATAGAATTATGATTCCAACTGAATAAATGTCATTAACACAAAAATATAGTCTAACAATCCTAAGGTGAGCTCTTAATCAGGTCAGTTTCATAATTGTTAGAAAATTTACAATAATGTTCTTAACAGGTTTGTTTTCAGAATAAGCGACAAAAATAACTTAATATTTAAGGAAGTAGGTAGAAAGGTATTTTATTTGTGTCCCACTAGAGCTACACAATGGGCTTGATAAATACATTCACGTAAAATAACTTTAATACAGTCAACCTTGATACATGGAATCTCAACATCTAACATAATTTTGTTACGTCAGGGAAACAAAATTCTTACTTTGTCAAACAAATTTCACTTATTTGGTTTTTATTTACTCAATATGGATTTGATTTAACTATTTGCATTTATTTATTAACATTCAGTAGTTATCAATCAAGAAGGAATCACATTTTATTAATAATTTCTTTATTACTTTCTTTTTTATACACCTTTGTTTCTTGCCTTTCAAGAAAAATAAATTTGAAATACTGTTTAAAGTATCAACAGATATGCATAATATACACAAAGACTGTTCACAGAAACTTTTTTGGTGTTACTCGCTATAAAAAATATAGCTATGTATAAGATTAAACAAGGTCAAAATTAGGCGGCAAAGAAAGTGTTGAAANTACATTATGATATACCCTCTTTGTGAAATATGAACTAAAAATGTTCCCTCTTCCAAACATACTAACGTTTTAGAGTATCAATTATTATTCTTTATAGACTATAACCAGGGATGAGAGTAGTCAGAAAGTAAAAAAGAGGAAAAATGTGACAAAAAAGTGCGATTTTTAAACTTGTAAACCATGTGAACATAAATCCCGATATGAGACTTTTAAATCACGTAAATATGAAATTCTACATCGAATTTAAAAAATGCGAAAATACAAATCATGATTTTTTAATTTTTTGATCACGATGCATAATTTTTAAATCGCGCGATATTACAACCACAAAAGCGAATCACGATATTGGATTTTAAGCTCGCGTGAATACGAATTGCTACATAGGGCTTTAAAAGCTCGTAAATACAAATCGCGATATGGATTTTTTAAATCTCGTAAGTAAGAATCGCAATGTACAATATTTAAATCGCCTGAATAAGAATCGCAACGTTCAACTTTTAAATCAGGTAAATACGAAAATCGAGATTTGATAATAAAATCGCGAATTTAAATATGCATAAATACAAAACACGATATTGGATTTTTAAATGTCGTAAATAAGAATAATAATATACCATATTGAAATTGCGTAAATAAGAATAGCAATGTACAACTTTTAAATAAGGTAAATACGAAAATCGATTATTGATATTAAAAACGCGTGAATAAAAATCAAGATATTTGCAGAGTCTGAACTTGTGATTTCTAAAAGGCTTGTTTGTATTGTTTTTGTTTAGACATAATAAATAAAAATTTACAAGATTAATTGAATGAGCAAATAAATATTTTCACCGCAAATCCACCTCTATTTTTTTCCTCTTTTTTTGTTTGTTTTCACGCCAGAATACAAGAAGCAGCGACGTCTGAATTACGAAAATACGAGCTATCCAGCCGACGGATAAAAAATACGGAAAATCTTATTTTCTGTGCGTGAAATCGGAGAAAATAGCTAAAATAAGTAAAAATGCGGAAGGGTTAGCAGCTAGGGCGTAGATTGAATTTTCTGTTTATCTTTGAAAATCGTAAATAAATATAATTATTTTACTTCAATGACTGAATTTAAAAAAAAAGGGATATTTATTTAAAAAAACGAAACTTTTAGAGAATCGGAGTTTTTGATAAAAAGGCTGAAATTCGAGAGACAAAAAAAATCTCATCCCTGTATAAAGGTCAACCAGTTTTATCCCTAGGAAATGATTTTTAGAGAAACTTCAGAGGGAGGAAAAAGGACTTCAATAATTTCCCTCCGCGGAAAATTAAATTCCTCATAAAATATTTTAACTTGTGCAAAAAAAAATTTCAGCGGAAATTAGCGGGAAAAATGGAAAAATCTGAAAAAAAGCGGAAATCCGCGAATCCGAGGAATAATCTCATCCCTGAAAGAAAGTGTTGAAAATACAAGTATCAATAAATTGCTCACAGAAAGTTTTTTCATTGAGATTTTGTATCAACAGAAAATGTTTCTTTTTATCGAAGTTGGAGTATCAATACTGTTCAGTAGACTATTGGCATTGTTAAAGTATCTATCATGTTCAATAAGAACACAATATCTTGCCTACAAGATAAGACTTCTGGATCAAGAGATGCGGAAGATGAAATCAAGAATTTCAGAGTATGAAAATATAATCGACTGTTGAAATTTCAAAATCTTAGTTTACTCTGCTAGATAAAAACACAGCAAAAAATAATCAAATTAAAAATACATTTATTAAACATTCTATAGGGTAATTGTTAGCCCAACTCAAATATCCTGAAATTTTCTCGAGTAAAATCATTAATGACGCATTTCAAAAAAATAATGTCTTTACAAATTTAAATCATTGGTATTTTCACAACGTGAAATTCTAAATAAATTATGTACAGCATAATTTAAATGAATAATTACGTATAAATTCAGTTCTTTCACTAATCACATTTATTATTCTACAACAAAAAAATACTTATAAATGAAAGAAATGCCAAGTATAAATTCTAGTTCTAATACTCTCAAATAAAATAATACAAGAATTTTTACACACAAATGTGATCGATGATTTATTGAAACTTCTGGACCTTGGATTTTAAGAAACTTTCAGATCACGGTTAGCGAAAAATCCGGATTTTTTCCAAAGTACAATCATCTCTGCTTTCTTGAAAAATAAAACAAATCCAGTCAACTCGATTGACATTACAAACAAAAACAAGAAATAATTTTACATTGAAAACATAACATAAATCAACTTAGAATTGCAACATTTTCACTAATCATTTCCTTCAGAAAACTAATGACAAAACCAATTTTTATCAGAGAAAAATGGTTGCTTCATGATCATACTTTGCAACTGTTTCTATATATATTTTGCTATATTAGATAAAAACATAGCAGAGAATAGCAAACACAAAAATACATTTATTTAACATTCTTGGAAGTCAAAAATTAGTTTAATCAACTCAATATGACAAGCGACAAAAAATACATTGCTTTGAGACATAGCAATCATAAGATACAGGGAAAAAAAATCTCCAGCTATCTTACTTTCATCAAAGCAAGTAAAACTTTTTTTTTCCAGAGAGAATTAACTTTGCATAAGCCTATTTTGCAACTGTATAGTAGTTGAGTACAAGTATTGTCTGTGTATTGCAGGCATGAGATTGTATAAAAAAAGAGAAAGCACATAAAAATAAATCAAATGTCAGAAGAAAAAATGTAGATCATAGCAGGTATATTAAAAAAAATACACCATAAAAACAATCAGTCATGAAAATTAAAAAAAAGAGTAAAGTTAATTCAGCATTACGATGAATCAAATCTCACGTTTAGAAGACAGAGAGGAAGCTTGTTTACTTCTTATTTATGTTTTCAAACAGAGATTGACACTACAAACATGCCAGGAAAAAACTAATTCCTGTTTCAAAACTTTCATTGGAAAATCGAAACACTTACATTCGTGATTAACTATTGTAAATTTGATGCACGCAGCACTAAAACTGAGTCAAATTATATCACAATTCTTCAGTTTTGTCCACATTTTACTGACCTTTTTAACTTTCTGGTTGTTGTGTTCATGAAATTATAACAGACATTCTTTTCTGCAAAGTAAACCAGTTTTCTAATATTATTAGATAGGTAATCGGTAAAAACGAAAAAATATTCATCCAAATTTGTTGTTTTTTTTGGTGTACCTGCCTAAGATAACAGAGAAAATATATATGTTTTACCTAATCTTGTGAATGAATGATTTCTGACAACTCAAATGATTGCTCTCACTGTCCACAAATTTGAGATCATGAGGTTTGACTGTAAGTTATTATGAAAAGGTTTTGACTGTAAGTAAGTGACTGAGGTTTGACTGTAAGATTATTTCTCCCTAATTATTAACATACTGTATATTTTCGTAAAAGAAGAAATGTTAAACAATAACTTAAGCTTTAAATAAGATTTTTTTAAAAGGAAAAAAAAAAAAAACAAGATCCTCTTCTATGAAAAAAAAAATCTTACTTTTATAAAATTTAAAATTGTTTATTTTTGAACCCTGTGGCAGAATCGCGGCAACACTGTCGCAGAGCGCTACCAAGTTCATGCAGAAAGATTTCTCCTTTGTAAAGGAAAAATTTCGGTATTCTTTTCTGCAGAAATTTTCATTCTATTGTTTGATATCGATATTACGATTGATTTCCAAATTGTTTTTAAAATCCTATATTTTTAATTTGATATTATTTATTACAACAACAAAATCTTTAAAAGAAAACACGCATTTAGCAACCCCTTTTTGAAGAGTCCGATTCATATGTTTTTGCCTGCGATCTTTTTTTCTGTAGTTACTGCTATGGATTTCACAATTTTCTTCTCTTTTTTTTTAATTGTGATGACGATTTACAAAATGCAAAAAAGGAAATTATCAGTGTGTTTTTCCCCGACAAAATGCAAGAATATCGGCCATTATATTACAGGGTGCGTAGCCAAATCTTTCAACAAAAAATAAGCCCCTTTTAAGTACTTTTTAAGCACTCAAAAAAAATTTTTAAGCACTATATACATAAACAAAATAATTTTCAAAGACTTTACACGATCATGCAGGGTGCGTAGCCAAATCTTTGAATCAAAAATAAGCACTTTACAAATATTTTCAAGCACTCAAAAAATTCATATCCAATCAATGATATTATTGAAAAACAAAAACTTTTTATAAACAGTTTTAGCGTTAAAAAAAAACCCAAAAAAGAAACGGGCGTAAATCAAAACAATCAGTACTTTCCCACATCACCGAGTGAATTCAACTTGACCCTGGACTCAGAACAAAAGTACCCTTACCCCCTACGTCAAAAAAAAAGTGTTAGAAGTAAAATAAAATAAACAAGAACAAAATTAAAATAAATTAAAAAGAAAAACATTTCATAAGGATCTGATATTCTCTATCCGAATTGGAGCACTCGGGTTTCGGTTTCAAGTGTGCGCGCATGCGCAAGTCATAACGTGGGTACGACATGAAGTCCGCACGAATTATTACGTAGCAAACTTCTCATTTTTCGTTAAATGCATGGGATCCACCAGATATCACTGAAGGGAAGAAAAAAATTATTCGGAAAAAAGCGCTTTTTAAAAACGCCAGCTAAAAAAAGCACCTTTAAAAGCTTTTAAAAATGAAATCCCCAATAAAGCACCTTTAAGTAATTTTTACAAACGCTACGCACCCTGTCATGTTATAAGCACGCTTTTGGAGAAAATCGACATGGTAACGAAAAAAAATCTCATTTTTGAACAGGGAAAATTGAGCACTTAAAAAACATCCAATGAAAAAAGCACCTTTATGGGCTTTTAAATAACGAAAATAAGCCCTTTTTAAAAACACTATGCACCATGTATTACATATTCAATTAAAAACCTATACTTTATTTTAATCGAAAAGTTTTTTTTTTTTATAATTAAATTAACGCTTTGTTACTTCAAACTATTTAGTAACATGTATAATTGTTATTTTTAAAAAATATCTTGCAGTATTTATTAGTATTAGAGAGGCATGTTGCAGAAAGCCCGAAAAAATTCTGCCACAGGGTTCTCCAATAATGTTAATGTTTAATAATGTTAAGAATCTAAAAATTCTTATTCTATAAAAATTCTTATTCTATTTGTTATAAAAAATTCTTATGTTAAGAAGTAGTTCTTAACATTATGGGGGCATTAGCCTTATCATTTATCTACGCTCCATCTCAACTTACACTTTAGCAGTGACAGATGATGGGCTGAGATGATGTTTGGGGGGACGCTGGAAATCTTTTCTGGGCCTTCCCCTCGTTCTTTTAACGATCGCCGTATTTCCAACTTTTTCAAAGTGAAAGGACGCAGCCTCCCCACCTTCAGACGGTGTTTCAGGTAAAGCATTAAAAGCAGGAGCAGCATCTGTACTCGGTGACTGTGACGGCAAGGAAATTGCGGATTCAGAGACGGGGGGCACTTCAGGTACATTTTGCGAGTCGTCCGCACTCGAAGCATGGCCCAGGCTTATCGCTAGCTGATGGTTATATGAAATAGTAGTTTTTTCTCCTTCGTCATCATCTTCCGCTGCTGGCAGTTCAATTTCTAGTCTGGTAGTGTTTCCAGAAGGCTCATTAGCCATTTTATTTACATCTTATACACTGTAATGAAAATCAGTTAACATATATATAAAGGATAAATAATGTGAAATATGCTAATTAAATGCGAGTTCAGATAAATAAAACCAATAGTTAACTGCTCTAAAAATAACTTAGACAATCTTTAACAAAAAAATGTACCATTCCTCCAAGCCACTTTGTTTCCAGACTTATTAGTCCATAAATAATGTGATATGTCGTTTTAATGTATACCTCTTAAAATAAACTATATCTAAATTAAGTAATATAATTGTTCATCGTTAACACAATTCTAGGTAATTAGCTCTCAAAATACAAAATCTCAAACCTATTTTGCAGAATAATATTTCATAATAAGGTTTAATATTGTTTGTAATATTGTATTCATATTATATATTTTGATATTCATAATTTTTCTAAGTCATTATTCTTGATATTTAGCATTAAGGAAAATATGAAATACAGTAGGGAACCGATAATCCGGAACGATCGGGACCATCGCTTTTCCGGATAATTGATTTTTCCGGTTTTCTGAATCGGTACAATTAGCCGTTTTTTTATTGTTAAACCCAACTAAAAAATATTTGGAAATAATCTTAAAAAGAAGAGAAAATTATGAAGTAATACACTAATGATTAGTTCCAAAATGATGGTAAGGTAAACATCTTTCAAAAAAGAAAGAAAAATCTTAAAATCTTATGAGGAAATAACATTTTTTTTTTAAAAATGGCGGGAAAATGTATCGAATTTCGTTCTGGTTTTTTGGTTTTCCGATAACGGGTTCTGTACTGTACCATTATTAAATGTGCACTCAGGTTAATAAAACCAATAGTTAACTGCTCTAAAAATAACTTAAGCAATCTTTAATAAAAAAATTTACCATTCCTCAAAGCCACTTTGTTTCCAGATTTATTAGTACATAAATAATGTGGTAGGTTGTTTTAAAGTATACCTCTTAAAATACACTATATGAAAGTTAAATAACATAATTGTACATCGTTAACACAATTCCGGACAGTTAGTTCTCAAAGTACAAAATCTCAAACATGCTTTGCAAAACAATATTTCATAATAAGGTTTAATATTGTATTTATATTATACATTTTTATATTCAGATTTCAAAAGTTAATATTCTTGATAGAGGAAAATTATGAGAAATACCATTGTCCAAAAAACACTCAGATTAATAAAATCAATAGTTAACTGCTCTGAAAATAACATAAGCAATCTTTAATAAAACAAATTTAAGCATTCCTCAAAGCCACTTTGTTTTCAAACAAATAATATGAAAGGTGATCTTAAAGTATACCTTTTAAAATACACTATAACAAATTGAATAACAGAATAACATAATTGTGTATCTTTAGAACGATTTCAGGTAGTTCTCAAAATACAAAACTACACAACTGTTTTTCAGAAAAATAATTGCTTGGTATTCATATCAAATATTTTTATACTCATATATTTAAAGTTTGCTTAGTATTTGTACTTAGTAGTAAGCATTTGTACTAAGTTCTTAGTAGCTTACATGATACTTAGCATTGATAATACACATTCATAATAATTCAAAAGTAACTTTCCTGTGAAGAAATATTGAATTTTATTATGTTAATCCAATGTTTTCACTACAACGCGAGAATCTCGCATATTTTTTTATATTCTCGCATTAAAAAATGATAACCGCGAGAAATTCGCGCATTCCATAAACCTATTCTAAAATTCGCGAATTTCTCACATTTTGAAAAAAAATTTCTCATTTGCGCCACTTAGAATAAAATCCATTTCACATTTCTTCCTGGATCTTTTATTATTTTCAACATCTGCCCCATTATCTAGCTTCCCTATTTACCAGTATTGTTCAGAACCTTTAAGAACAACAGAACACCATCCTTCGGAACCACGGAACCTCTTTCAGAACGCATTTCTCTGCAACCACGTGTTTACCGTAGGTAAGGTTTCTTCATGTAAGATGTTCAAATTTTTTGCTCGTTAATGTAAGATGGACAAATACCTTGTAAAGCCAATATCTTCTACTACGAAACGGACAAATGAAAATGAAACAAATGTGGGTAGAAACGATCAAAACGAAACAAATACGCATTTGAGCAACCTAATGAGAATAGCTGATGAAAAAGTAGATGTAGAACATTTTCGATATGATGATGCTGCAAAAATATTCAATGCTTTAAAAATTAGAAGATGTTAAAAAGGCATTATGATTAAAGAAATGAATTTTTTTTTTTAAATTTTTGAAATCTCACTTAACTTTTTGAAATCTCCCCCTGTTTTTGAGAAATTCTCACCCATTTTTTTTCTGAGATGAAAACACTGGTTAATCTATGCTAAATAACATAACTGTACATCTTTAGTACAATTCTTGCCTAATGTTCTAAATTGCCTAATGTTGTAAGATTTTTCCATTCAATATAATACACATTCAAAAACATTAAAGAAGTCAACTATCTAACATTTGCAATTGAACTACTATGTGATGAGGAAATACTGAATGTATTAATCACCTAAAGTAAATTATTTACTATTTCAATGTAAATAATATGTTATAATAGCAGTGCAAAGTATGCATTGAAAATAAACAAAACACATTTGGCTATTTGATCTGAAGAACAACATTTGAAATTTTAAGGAAGTGTACCAATAAAATTACAAAATTGCTAAAAATGAATATTTCAAGTCTTTGATATTTTAAATAAAAAGAAGTTAATTTATATGTAAAAAAAATATATATATATATATACAACAAAATATGAAGTTTTAGGCAAACGAAACTAAGTTTAATTTACTTAAAATTATCAAATATCTAAGATCTGAAACATGATACATATAAAACTATAGCAAACTAAATCCAAAAATTAGAATAATTCTATTCATAACCAATTCATANATATATACAACAAAATATGAAGTTTTAGGCAAACGAAACTAAGTTTAATTTACTTAAAATTATCAAATATCTAAGATCTGAAACATGATACATATAAAACTATAGCAAACTAAATCCAAAAATTAGAATGATTCTATTCATAATCAATTCTATTCATAACCAATTCATAATCAAAAAAACTTCAAGAACTACAATATGATTTGAATCATACCTTTAATTTAAATTAACCCTTCTGCAAACACACGTTTTGAATGCTTAAATTTACACATTTTTCATATCTATCAGAGCACTGCTGAAAAGAAAGCATGGTATAATATTATTACATGTATATTTTATGGTAAAAACCCGTAGTCTGATAAATCTAATGTTAAACTGATAAAATCTAGCTTTTACTAAAGTGGCATGTTAAAAGTCCAAAGTTATGCTTTAAAACGATTTTTCACCTTGCCTTTGCCATCAACTTACTAGTAAAACCAAAGATTTACCAGACTTTGAGCTTTTACATAATCATACACTGTCATTTTGAAATAACATTTTATAGCAACTTCTTTAAGAATATCAACAGAAAACTAGTCTTAAAATATTAGTGCCTAATATGAAAAGTATATATATTTTGAATTTCTACAAGAAAAAACACTAGATTTCAATATTCACAAATTTTTCTAGCTTATGATTCTAAAAACTTTTGTGATAAAATTTTGCAAATTTTTTTTAAAACATTAATTATTTTTTAAGAAAAAAATTATTATTATAACTTTTTAAAAAAATTATTACGTAACTTCGTATTCAGAAGTATTTAATCTGCACTTACGACTATCAAAAGTAAAAATATTAGTACCTTTCGCTATACACTCTATAACGGTTTTTAACGAAATTGACCATGTTTTATTACTTTTAAGGAACAATAACTTTTATTAAGAATTCAACTTCGCTGATAAAATAAACTTTTGGTTTCGAAAAAATATTACAAATTTAAATAAACTGCATGGAGCTGCTATGATGTTAAAAACACTGCTTAGTAGTACCTATCAATTACAATTCGTCATCTTGAATAACAGAATTAGATATATATCGAATTTTAACAATTGAATTATTCATTGAACTACTAGTGAGTGCTTTGCTTTCATTAAAAGTAATTGATTTTTTTGCTTAAATAAAATACTTATACATTTGATACAAAGAAAAATAAATAATATAAATACAAATATAAACAAACCAAGAAGTGATTAAAAAACTTATTTTCTTATAATAAAACTTCGTGAAAATCTAACAGTTTTCTTAATGATAAAATTTTATTTCACAGTAAAATGGTAATTCATTAAAATTCAAAACTAGAACCAATTAAAAGTTTTCTAATATAAAATTAATAATTAGTACGATCAAAACACTGGACGCACAGATATTTTTTTATTTATGTATTTATGCCTGTGTTGAGATGTTTGAAGTTTAAAACTTTTTTCATAAATTAAGCATTAAGAGCCATTCTCACTGCATGCAAACAATTTCTGCTATGAATTCGAGATGCAATTAATACTCATCAGCAAGCTGAGCGTTTTCGCGGTTTGCAAAACTTCCACGACGCTTTCTTTTATAACTACTCTAACTAACTAACTCAGTGGCGCGACAGCCCATTAAGAGGGCCAAGGCCGACTGTGCCCATCTCAGTTTTCTTGACCTTTGGGCTCTGGGGTGCAGGAGCATATGTTCCGGTCAGGTGGTCAGCCGAACGCGGAACCCCCAGTGTTAGTTCCCAAGCATGCTTGGTACTCATTTTATCGACCCACTGAAGGGATGAAAGGCTGAGTCGGCCTTGCCCGGCCCAAGGATCGAACCAAGGACCTGTGGCACGACAGCGCGAAGCGCTACCGCTCAGCCACCGGGCGTCTTTTATAACTACAGTCACTCGAAATTTTTTCGAGTGACTGTATGTTTAATGTAGTTTTCAGTTCTAAACTGTCTATAATCTATACGATAATCAAGAGAAAAACTGCCGTACTTTCTTCTTTTATGATCGATTCTTCACACGCTAATCATAAAAGCCTGTGTACCAAAGCCTGAGTGCCATAGAGAGAGAGTTCCGTTTTCTATAACCCATTTCGATCGCCAATATTTCACTTATTATGTTCTAATTAACCCAGCCATTTTTGCTCAATATGAATCACAAACCTCTTTAGAACTTAAATGAACTATATATAGTAACTTAAATGAACTATTAACTGAATTACTGAAGTATTAACTTAAAGAGCATTCGTACTCTATACGAAATATTCAACAGTGCGAATTCAGAAATGCGAGCAAGTCTTATAAGGGAAATATACTATTTATCGACGAAAAACTCACCAACGAAAAGCTCACCGCTTCCAGTGTGAATGCCCCTTAATCAGATTTTCAATGGTGATCGAGAGTGCACGATTCTCGTGCAGTAAAAACGGCCCCTTTAATTTGACTGTGTCTTCTTGCATTTATTTAAAAAATTATTTTAACAGATAAAACTCAAGCTTTGGATGAGTTATAATTTCTATATGGATGGTTGACTGAATATAAACAGGGCCGGGTTACCCATTAGGGGCCCCCATTGATTAGGGGCCCCCGTAAAATGGATTTTTGTGAAAATAAATTTTAAAAAACTAAGAAAAAAAAAATAATTTTTCAAAATGTTATAATTTTTTAGTTCTAATTTAATAAAATAAAGTAAAATTTAATTTATTATTTATTTTAAATATGCTTTCTTAAATGAAAAGATAAATAAACACTTTTATATTTGAATGAATAAAAAATAAACGAGAAAAAAATTTAATCTAAGGGCCCCAAAAATTTGAATGGTCTAGGGCCCCGAGTACGCTTAATCCGCCCCTGAATATAAAGTATATATTTGAATGATATAAAGTATAGTATATAAAGTACAGATTTAACATTAGTATTGAAAATTCTAATTTTTGTTGAATTTATTATGTGGGTGTTTTTCCAGAACTCATTAAGAATAGCGAAACTGCTGCCGGTTTTATTTTGTCTATTTAATATATCTTCATAAGTTTTTCCATTGTTGTTAATTATGCTTTCAAAATACGTAAAACTGTTTACCTCCTCTAGTTTGTTATTTTTTAAGAATATGTCATTTATGTGTTAAGCATTAATTTTCAAAATTGTAGTTTTATTTTGATTGATATTTGATTTGATTGCCCTATATTCTTTGAGCATTACGGTTAAATTAATAACAAATCTTTCGATCTCCATCAATCGCAAAATAAAAGTAAAGTTAGAATCACTTTTGGTATTCGAGAAAAAAATATTCGTATCAACAAGAAAGCAACGTAGTTTAATCTTGAAATGCTTTGTCGTAGCACTATTTTGATAAGCAATAGCTTGTAACACTCTAAACACTGTTTGCCAAAGCACAAAACAAACAGCAGAAAGATTTAGCGACGTTTCAAGATTAAAAAGCCTGAAATTGAGAATATATTGCAAAATGCAGCAGAGTTGCACATGAGAGTGCAAGAATCTCACCGAACCCAGCGTAGTAGACGCACATGCGGACTCACAAGTATTTCATCAAATCTGTGAAATGATTGGCGCATTCATACGCTATGAAAGCGCCATAGCGATTAACGGTAGATGATAGATTGTGAAAATGTTGAAAAGAACAACGTGAAAAGCACGCTTTTACATACCTACAACACCTACTACTTGCTTTTACATACCTTTACACGCGCTACAACATTCCCTTTTCGAAAAGAGAAAATTAAGCACTTTTTAAAAACACCCTATGAAAAAAGCAGCTTCAAGGGCTTTTAGAAAACGAAAATCGAAAGCACCTTTGAGGACTTTTTAAAAACGCTACGCTCCATGCATTAATTTGTGAATCTAGATATATTGGAATTACAAAGATTCAAGGGCATCAAGTTGAATATTAAACAATTGTTTATAAAAGTGTGCATTAGCGTGATCAGACACGTTACTAATATTGGAAGGCCTGTCGGAGATCGGCCCAGAAACTGTCAAGTCTAATGAAGATATTCATTGTTTAGTTTACAACACATAAATGAATTTTTGTTTTATGCATGTTTTTATATTATCCTAGCAAAAGTCAAAGTTACCACTCTAGTTCTCCCAGAGTTTACACACGCACCCGATCTTAGCCATTTGATGGAATAAGACTGTTTATATATGTAAACTAAACGGGAACTTTAGAAATACATACCTGACAACATCGGAGAAATAAATTAAAGGAGATTTTACCAGCGATAATTTTCGGGCTACGAGTAAAGTTTTGATGCATCATGCATGTGGGAAAAGATGCCAACCTTCATCTATCTAAAGGTACCTTACCACAGAATCGAGTTAAAATGTCTTATATACCAGTGGATTGGAATTATATTTTTGAAGTGGTAGACACACTACAATGTAAGAAGAATTTTATCTGTGACAGAATTCGATGAACGGGATACCACTAGTTGATTCGGTGCTGTGTTTGTGAGAAGCCGGGAGAGCTGTATTAAGATCACCGTACTTTTGAGTGCTGATCGTGAGAACTGTATTAAGTTCACGTTTGAGGTTGCTGTCGTATTGTCATTAGCCGTCGACTGTATATAGATCGACGTTGTGCGTGGCAGAGACTGACTGAGTAGCAATAGTAGAGTTGCCACAGAAAAAATTAACAAAATAGTTGCTTTCAGTAACCTAAAACATGATAAAATAGTAGTCAAAAACTAGGCAAATAGTTGACTAATTAAGAACAAAAGTTCCTCAAAAATATGTCTAAAATTTTGTTAATGACTTAATTGTCATATACCATGATCTATTCAGTCAAGTTGGTGGCAAATATTTAATTTTTATGCAAGCGTAAATGTTTATATATATGAAAAGGGATTACTCAAATTCGAAATTCACGCATCGTAATATCGTATTAAATTATTTTTTTTTAAAGTCATGCGGAATTTCGTAGCAATAATCATTGAAAAGNCGCGGGCCGTAGTTTGCCCATCCCTGCTCTAGAGAGATATAAAAATTTTCCTATTTTTCGTGCAACTGTGAATAGATCGTGATTTACAAAAGTGAAATGAATTCACTAAAAAGCATTTAACAGTACGATATTTTTTGGAAACTCATTGTCATTCACAACAACTATTTTCATTCATCAGGTAAAATGACTTTGGATTTAATTTTTCTGAGTTTCAAAGCGAGTAACGTGATTTTTTTTCTCCAGAAGATAAACGATTAATAATAGTTGGAGTTAAAAAACATTTTCCCCATCATACTCTCCGTGCATTTTTCCATATATATCTTTGCGATTTCCCGATTTGCGATTTGAAACATAAACATGGAAAGATTATAGACTCCATCAGTAAAACATATCAAGAATCCAAAACTGAAGCGAGAACGTTTTCAACAACAACATCAAAAATGTCCTTTTTAAAAATGGTAAAGAGGCTGCAAACTTTCAGAATCATTTTATAATGGGAAGGGAAAAAATTAAAAAATATATATANTACAGGGTTGCCACAAAAAAAAATGAACAAAATAGTTGCTTTTAGTAGCCTAAAGCATGAAAATAGTAGCGAAAAACTAGGAAAATAGTTTCCTAAATAAGAACAAAAATTCNGCGAAAATTCAATTTTCAGTAGCGGGGACTTTTAAAAGTAGCCCAATCCGCTACTTGTAGCCCAATCTGGCAACACTGCCTTTTTGTACCTAAGAGCAAATACCAGAATATTGGTCGAATGGTGGGCACCATTTATTTATTCAAGATAAATTTATAGTTAATAGGCATAGGTAATAATAAACACTACATACCATGCACAAAAAGTAAAATTTTAAAAATTAACTTAACATAGGAATATAAATTAGTATTAATATTCTTGTGTGAAATAAATGATTACTAAAATGCTTTCAAAACATGCGAAGTATAAAAATTATTTATAAAATATATAAAATACTGTAAATAAAATATAAATACCTTGGCATTGCATCTCACTGGCCAGCGCTTCATAATTGGGAGAATATGATGAAATACCTGCTCGCAAGCAGTGTCGTCAAGGTCTTCATCTGTAAGTCGGGATCTATATTTTTATTTTATGATATTTATTGTCGAAAGCCATGATTCACACAAGTATAACGAACGAAAAAACGACTTTATTTTACATGCTGCTCTTTTTAAGAATGGAGTTTATTTCTGTCAACTATATCCAGAATTTCTTATCTGATATGATAGTTTTGAGGATAATGTCATTCTGAAGATCCAAAATTTCTATCTCCACTTCAACTCGCCTTACTTGTAGAAATTCTGAAATGTATGTTGTTATTACGGTTACGTTTATTTGGTTGGTAAAAGGATTTACAAAAAAGGTGATCTAAAGCTCGATGATATTAAATTGTTGAAAGCGC